GGCTACCTACCGCTTTCTCAACTTCTTCTAGTGTTGGGGGACCTGTCTCTATGTCCCATTCAGGGTCCGACTGGATAGCGGGCAGCGCAATGGTGGCTGGAGGCCAGTTAAACTGTTTCTTGAAGTGTTCTGCCCATCGTTCCAGTCGTCTCCCCTGCGAGTGAATCGCAGATCCGTCCTTCTCCGCTATAACCTCACTAACTGTTGTTGACCATTTCCCCCCAGTCTCCTTAATAAGTCTAAATAACTGTCTACTGTTACCGATCGCCGCTGCCTTTTCCATCTCTTTAGCCTTCGCTGCCCACCACTGTTCACGATCGTTGCGCAGACTTTTCGTCAGTCTATTTTTAAGTTGCGCTCGCTCTTCATTGTACTCAGAGCCTGCAGGGATGCATTCACGTGCATCCATTAGTTTGGAAGAAGCTGCTGATATCCACTGGCTCTTTTTAGCCATTATTTTGGAGTCGGCTACAGTCTCCAGTGCTGCTTTTACAGTAGACTGAAGATGGCACCAAGCTTCTTCTGGATGAGTGACAGTCTTTTGTTCCGATAACTGCCTAGCCAACTTCTCACTGAACACGGCTTTGGTGTTTTCGTTGTCCAGCAGCACTCGTAGTGGTTTTGTTGCCAAATTTTTTCTACGTCCATTGAGACGCAGGCATATACGTGCTCGGACCAACGCATGATCGCTGTCCAAACACGTACTCCAGAAGGAGCGGCAGTCTTCCACCGATCCTCTCCAGCGATGACTAATAGCAATGTGGTCTATCTGTGTCCATCGCTGAGTTGAGCTCGGTGGACGCCAGGTCAGACAGTGCCTTTCTTTATGTCTGAAATTTGTGCTGGCTAAAAATAGGCGGTTATCTGAGCATAGTTGTAATAGGCGATCACCGTTATCTGTACGTTCAGCTGGGATTCCGAAAGTGCCACCTAAGTGCCTTTCTGCCTCACTCAGTCTACCCACCTGTGCGTTGAGGTCACCTGCAACAACCACTACGTCCGAACGTTTGGCTTTCGAGAGGAGGTTAGACAGTTTATGGTAGAACTCGTCCTTCACTTCATCCGAGCTGCAGTCAGTGGGTGCGTAAGCAGAGATTACAAAGAGACAACGGCGAGTCTCACTATTCCTTTTAGTTCTCACTGTGCCGTTCAGCCTCATAGCGCAGAGGCGACTATCAACTGGGATCCAGTCTAGTAGTGAGTTTTCTGCCCTGGTGCTTAATGCTATACCTACACCTGCAAGACCACGAGAGCTAGCTATCGAATCTCCAGAAACTCGAAGGGTGAATTTTGCAGATTCACCAGATTGGTCAGGAGAGGTCAGGTGAATAACCACACTTGGGTCCTGTATGCGTGTCTCACAAACACAGCACACATCCATGCCCGAGTTGCTAGAGTCTTTGCCAACGAAGCCTGTTGGCCAATTTGACGGAGGGTGCGGACATTGAAGGCTCCAATATGTAATTTGGAGCGTGGTTTAAGGAGACCAGGGATGCTGTTCTGTGGACTCAGATCGTTGTCGAAGGCTGCAGAGGTAGGAGAAATTGAAGATGATGCAGCATCATTAATTAAGAGACGTGAAGGAAGATTAGAAGGTAATGATGGAGGAGGAGGATAGCAGTCAGAAGAAACTTGGGTGCTGACAGAGTTGTGAGGGCGGTTGACACTTCCCGGCTGCCCACACCGTGGAAGGCTATTTCTTCTTAAGGTACCTGAAAGAGATTTGTGTGACCGCAGAGCCCATCGGACATCTGCTTGAGGCCTGTCACACCCAGCCTTTTGAGTATGATTATTTTGAATTTTTGTATTTTTGGGGCCGGATGGTCGAAAGGAAACGACAAGTGAACCAACACCGCCGGCCCGGCAGACCGTGGGGCATGGTGGAGTGTGTTATTTTTGGGGCCGACCTTTTCTAACCCCCCTTCCACTGAGAAGGCAGCATCAGCATGGCACTGCTGGTCATCCAAGGGAAACACCTTACTGCTGTCACACCCCATCCAGCTAGCAGCAGTACGACTTCGCCCTCAGACCCCCATCATAGTGTAGCAATTTACACTATAACGGTAACTGCTTTTCGTCTAACCACTATCCAACAGACCTTTCTGGTATGGTAGGACCTCGAGGGAACAAGCGTTCCACCAGCATAGCTCGTTGGGTCATTGTGATATGCAAGCCCGACCACCACGTCAAGGTCGCAGCTAACGCTCGGGAATGAAGTGGTTAATGCGCTCAACTATTTTACCCCCAATTATTATTTAATTGATCGTTGAAGACTCAATTTTAGAACAACGGTTTGCGTTTCATTGGCGGGAAACGTTTCCCAAACATTCTCAGATTTCCACTCATCCTATCATTAAGAGTCTGCATCCTGTTAGCATCTTCTATGAAAGATTCTCGTATCAGGCATCGAGAAATATACTTCCATAAGTCTATAATAGGGTTGGGTAAAAATGAAGAATATGGGCATCCTCAAGGGACACCACTTAACATACAGAACAAATCTTATAACTCACCATAGGCCCTAACACATCAACGTGCGTTCTAGTACTGAGCCTTCGACACAATGATTTACTTAACCGGTAGTCTTTCCAGTAAAAGACTACCATAAGACCTCTTGATGGACATAGTCGAATGCCTCGTATAGGGCGTCAGTTCGAGAGTTTCAAGCTTCTATATCGCTTGCATCAACTAATGAACTAGTGTTTGCCGGCATATCTTTTGAATATAAAGCTTGTGAGATACAGTGGGAATTACATTAGCTGTTGTTGGGTCGGCTACTGACTACACATAATTTCTGAAAGAAGTGAGATATGTAACTGCCTATTACTTTTCTGTGTCAAAATTTGTGCGGTTGTATATAGATGATAATTTCATTGTGGAATCACTGTATATGAAGGAAGAAAAAATAATGTTACTATGAGTTATATTCATAAAGTCCATGACGTGGTTTCTGTTAACAGTAATATTGTGTGGTATACAAAGGAAATTTGTGAAAATCTTGAAGTAGTATTCAGTCGTTTAAATAAGAATAGTAACTGTATGCAGCATTATTCTGATCAAAATAGTTTTAAGACCAAGTCCCTGAGATACAAATGTTAGTCAAAGATTTCTTTCACTGAAACGTTTATTTTATAACTTCATGTAGATAGTTCGTCTATCTATCTCCTATATTTAAAACAAAGTATGCAGTGGATATGATACAAAACAGTATTACAAAATTATGAAGCAATAAAAGATATGTATTAAAAGAGAAAACACGAAGTGTATTCTTTTTTTCCTTCTAATACACCACGCTGGGATTACAAAAGTAAAATACACCTTATATGATAAAAAAACAATCATCAAAGAAGCATTTATATAGGATAAACCCAAGGTAGCATCCATTACTTTCGTTTCACTTGTTGGTATCTGGAGAAAAAGAAAAGCTACAAGATGATCACTGCTGGTTTGGTCCTGAGTCAAATCTGACAACATCTCAAGCCGTTGTGTCTCGTGATCTCTCGTACTCCAAACAAAGAATCACCGTGCTCCAACAAATGCTATCTCAACACCCATCCTTTATCCCATTGCCGCACATAACCTGCTTATCGTTTCTCCGTTTCTTCCCGTCACTTTCATGGCTTAGAAACAAACAGTAAGGAAATCACTTGGACAACATTCATAGTACATATCTAAATCACCAAAAAAGTACTTCAGGAAAACTCTATTCAGGTAGTGACGATCTTGACTCAATGGGCTTAGAAATGTCATCCGTCGTACCTCCACTAACCTTTACATATCGTCTCAGGCACAGAAATGTTTCAACGGCTTCCAATATTCTACCACTAAGGATATATACAAAAACGGACTTCTACCTTTTTTTGTGAGGATGTTTCTCAATTCCGTTTTGCAAAATACTTATCATACTCCCGGAAAATTGATCACAAACTGTCATTTGAGTAACTTCTTATCGCAGAGTAAAGTGATATAATTCACTTTCTTGGGGTCTTAAAGTCTTTCTTTTAGAAACATATTTACACCTAAGTCTAGGCACTCAACTTTCAACCCGTGGGTCACGGGTTTGAACCCGCTCCACCTACCTAGTTTCGGTGAGTCAGGTAGTATCATCAGGTCTAACATAATAGGTTTGCCTCATCGATTAGTGCACGAAAATGCACATGGTTATCACATATAAACCACGCCCGTCTTTCAGAGGTGCCGCAGGTGTATAATTGATAGCAAAGTTAATGAGTCTTGTCCAAAGAATGGAAATATTAATCTCAAAAAATACGGCAATTTTCGACCTGTGATGTATAGTGTTGGTCAAATATCTAAGCCTGCGCGCGGGGATACACGTGACCAATGCATCCACAAATAAACGAAGTTCGAACTCCTTTCAAATCAGCTTTTTACGCGTATTGCAGTCTATAGAAAGTGAAAGCAGTCAGTCTTAAGCCGGTTGTTCGCAGAGGAATATCTTGATTTTCGTCTCAGACACTGCTTAGGCTCAGGGTAATGGAACGCTCAATCTATCATAATCCATCAAGCAGTATTGTCGGAACACTAAATAGAGTCTTCTCTCCATCCTTAAGAGCCGTGGGGCAATTTATCAGCTTCAGGTGCCTTACAGCATTTTCATACTTGAAGTCCAACTACCTACTCCAGGCCTGTGTAATGTTCACGGAAAGGTTGCACATATCCTGAGACCCTGCTTAGTTATGATGAAACTACTTGGCAAGGAATCTCATTAAGATTTGACCTTTTAATTGTGACACTAGTTAGTGAGATTTTAGTCATTTTGGTGACTCGATTTTTGCATGGTAGCACTACACATGTTTCTTCGAAATCAAAACTAAAATGTCAGTTGGCTACACTACAAGAACTGATTTGTTGGTTTTAATTGCCATATAAAGTTGTATTTATCGTTAATCCATTCTTCATCAAGCTTTACGCTATATAATAATACTTGACTTTTCTATCACAGGTCCTTTAACTGATCAAACATTAACTTCTTGCCAAAGATGAACGCTTTTTTAACTGCATTTAAACAAAAGCCTCAGGAAAGCAAACAACGTTTAAAAAATTCAAAACATATCCCTTGGGTTGAAAAATAGTTAGTTGTTTGTTACATAATTATTTTTAGCCGACCAAAAACAATCGATGAAGTCGCATACCAAACAGAAGTTGTCAATGTACTTCGAAAATGTATTGAAGGATCTGATGTATGTTTTGTAACTGGTTATTTAACTCCACCTAGCTACCAAATCTACTATTTTATGGGCCACCAGGAACTGGGAAAACGTCTCTGATAATGGCTTTAGCTCGCCAATTATTCGGGTAAAGTGTGTTTATCAAAATTTTTAAATAAATTACGTATATTTTAGTGTGGCCTAATATTATTGTGTTATTATTGTTGTACGATGGTAAAGTGAAAGGATGTGCAAATCTTGCATTTTTAAGGTTGCGATAAACTAGACTTGTCATTTTCATACACTTTTTGACACGGGAATTCTGCAATTCGAATAAACTGGGGACAATATTCATAGTAAAATAGCATCAGTTAAAGGACCCGAAACTAGAAAGTATTTGATAAGTATTTTGCGTTGGTGTATAACTCCTTTGGTGTGTTCTAAGGAATGAACACCGGGACGTTACACTGTTTTTGTTGATCATATCGCGTTTCATCATCGCCTCACTTCTTCTTCTTCCTCCCTTTATATGATTTTCTATCACTATCTTTCATCTTACTGCCTTGAATCTTAATATGAGTTATTACAATATGGATCGATATGTAATAATACCGGGTCGCATGCTTTTATTGATAACGCACTGAGTCGGTACTCCTTGGTCTGTATTCTCTTAATATTATTAAGTATTTTTCACTTCAAATTTAGTTGTGCATTCTTTTTTCTCTATAACGTCTTGGTTACATGTTATTGTTCAGTCACATCAGAACGTCACAACTATGAGCATACTATTGTATGCGGAATAGTGCATGGCACATAACGCTCACAGTGTGCGATCCCCCTAAAAATATGTAATAACATATGGAGTAATGTGTAACATATATTCCATTTATCATGCACAAAAATACGCAAAGTCCTATTACTATGCTCCATTAGGAAATTTCATTTCTAAAGTGATGGGTCAGTTGTAATTCGCAGGTTATTTGCAAATTCGCAATTTTTGGAGACTTCAGGTAAGTATTTATCATGAAATGACATCGGTTGGAGAACCATTAGAAACCTGGGAACACTGGACTGCTGTTTCGTCCTGCCATAGGACTCAGCAATGCACACCCATCACCTCTCCTGGGATCTAACCCAGGATCTTCAGGTTTCGCGACCAGCACGTTACCATTGAGACACTGAGTCGGTATTAAATGGTCTATATTTCCTACTTTTGTCAGTTCACCATACAGCAAGACCACCATCCAATGCCGTCGTTTTTCGATCTAAATAGTTTGTAGTAGTTCTTCAGCTGTCGTTTACAAGAAAAACTATTTTCGAATTATTTGCCGATTTGCTTTATTCTGATTTCATTCGTGAAAGTTGCACAACTGAAATTTTGCACACCGTAGGTTATTTTGTTGAGTATAGTTACACCAGGCAGAGTTAAGTGAAAATCATAGAAATTAATAAAAATAATGTAACTCAACCTGGCAAGTGTTTATGTACTAGGCTATGAGCTACATATACTACAATATTAGCCGGTTTCCCCGCTTGAGTGACGCGGAGCGGGGCGAGAACCTGGGACCCGTTACTTGAAAGTCGAATTGCTAAGCCAATGAGCAGAATCTCTGAAAAATGTTTAGTGTAGCCCCTAAAAGGTTCCAGAAAAAAAGTATAAATGATTTCTTCCAATTGCCCACTGAAACAAATTCGAATACTTCTAATTCCTAATATGAACAACAAAACGAATTTCCTGTCATGAGCCATTTTTGCGATAATTAGTTCGTGATTGACAAAATGCTGATGGAACTAAATGCCAAAACGATACTGTATGTTTTGTTGCAACGATAAGTGCTCAGATCACTGAAACTTATTATCTAATTGCACTCTAGTCATGATTATGGTCAAAAATCAAACTGAGTGAGGATGAAGAAGATTCTCAGACTAGCTACTTACTTTGTATTATACATAGTAAGTTTAGCGAAATATGACTGTTACATGTATACAAAAAGTTAAAATAGTATGAATAAATATAATCTATCTAATAACCTGTAGTTAATTCATAATTAAATTGATTTGGAGACAACCAGAAACTTATCAGACAGTGTAAGAATGCATTTCTGCTTACTATGACACTTTCAAATTCATTTTGGCAAGCTTGACATACCCTATTCCATCGACATTATCGCTGATTTTTTACAACCCGCGAACAAAAACGTTATGATATTTATCTATTTATTTCCATCCTTGTTATTACATCCAATAAAATAATATCTGAAACACTCAAATACGTTTCAGGCATACCACCTTCCAACTTGCCTATCGTCTAGTGAAGATTAATAAGGAAAACATTGGTTCTGTGTTTTTGGAGCTGGATGATCTGTAAAAATAAAGCTTTCATCTTCATTCTCGATATAATTATTAGTATAAACTTCAGAAGAAGTGAGCTGTGTGAATTTCGCTACAAATGGTTTAGTTGCTTGTCCTAAATCAAAATATCATTCTGAAAAGAATCATATTGTATTCATCACGTTAACAAGGGGGTGATCGATATACATGATGAAGGTTTTTCTATTCAACTTTCCGTATTTCGACTTTCCAATGTCTAACTTGTTTTTTTTTTTGCATTCCCGATATACACTGTTTTTCAGCCCCCTTTATTCAGAGCGTGTTTTAGAACTGAATGCTAGTGATGAACGAGGTATCAGTGTTATTCGACAGAAGGTGAAAACGTTTGCCCATATCGCTGTTAGTGGTTCTAACTCTGGTTCTGGCCAGCATAATATTCCACCGTATAAGTTAATCATCTTGGATGAAGCTGACTCTATGACAGCACCTGCACAGGTATACTTTTTCTGCTAAGGTTTTGTGAGTATGTGGCTTTAAATATTCACTTTACGTTGTTTATGAACCATAAGCATTCGAGAGCAGCGACAGGCAAAATCAACGTAGAATCTAGCACAGAAGTGCGTCGGTTCACATTGCCACACTTCACACCAGCATTTAAAAACAACTGGACAGAAAAAGACCAATATCAAAGTGGACTAAATTCAAGCATAAAGAGGAACACTGCTTTACATGGCATTCGCTGACGTCAAACGAACGATGGACACAGATAGATCATATTGCAATAAACCATCGATCGAGGATTGCTGATCTTTCTGGAGTACCTGTTTCAACCCGCGTTCTGTCTGAGAACTGTCAGGCGTACAAAGTTGCGAGTGAAGAGGATGATCGTCGTTTGATAAAATATCTGCTTCCATCTGTGTACGTAAGTTGTCTGTTCACAACAAGATCGACTAGAGGAGTTTAACGCACCCAGATGCTTCTGCTGACTGTTCTCATAGTCCTGCGCTATGCAGCATAGTCCTTTCTTAGCAAATCAAGAAAGAACGAGGGGGGACAATAAAGAAGAATAAGCAAAATGCAATTCGTAAAATAACAGAATAGTCTGAGTTATATCAGAAACCTTCAACTTCCTAATATAATAATAGGGAAGTTTTTTGGAAATGGTTAAAATATGAGAGGACCAAGAAAGATCAAGAGAAAACCAAAACCTAGATAGATCAAACTTCTTACGTTCTGTAGTAATCGGCCATCAATAAAACAAGAATTATGCAACTGAAGCAGTTTCCGCAGGTCACATTTACGTCTGAGGCCAAATTAGTTGTTTGACATTTTGAAGAGTTACCCACAAAACCATTCATAAAGGAACACCATTCAGTAGAAGTTAGGCGATCATTTAGTCGTGATAAAGAGGTGAGAAGCCTAGAAACTTTCAGGTCAATAACGTACTTAATATTATTGATTCTGGCTGAAAAAGATAAGTCATATAGGGAGAAAACGAATAAAAAGAGGGAAGGAACAGTTTCTTGGGGAACACCAGCCTCGGTAATTAATGAAGTGGAACTTTTTTTCTTCTGTAATTGCCTCCTTCAAGACCCAGGATTTCTTCTGTCCTGTTCAACAAGAGTGACTTTAGGACTGAATCAAGTTTGATGTTCCAAAAAGGTACATATGATATACTTGGCGCCTCTATCGAGACTATGAGCAATGTTGTGATATAAAACCGTGACGGCATCCAAAGTGCTGCTTTTGCGCTTGTATATAAATTGATGAAGGTAATCAGAAACCTTCAATGAGGGTTCAAACACAAGTAATACCAGTTTTTCCAATGTTCTTATAAATGGAGAAGTAACTGAGACCGGTTGAAATTTAAAACACTTTACACGAACATTGATACTGAGAATATTTAAATATCTTTCCAGGCAGTTGTACACTATTTTTTGAAAATGATTCACTAACAGTGTTAATTAGTGGATGGTGTAGTATATCAGCATATTTCGTGAATAGGAAACGTGAAATGCCATCCAGTCTCAAACTATATTGCTATTGGACACATTTCTTGCTGAATTCGGGAAAACAATCTTCATTAGGACCGGAAAGACAAGATGAGGTAGCATCACTGGGTTGGCGTATAAACGATTCGTCTAGAATGCAAAAGTCATCAAATGCTTCTTTACTAACTTGTTTACCACCAGTAAAATCTTTTAAAAGTTTCCAAATGCTGGGAGAGTCGTTACATGGCAAAAGCTTCTAGTTATGTAGTGGGTAGAAACGTTTAGTTTTCGACTTTACTAAGCAGATCAGTCGTCGAACACCAATGTTATCACCTACTTTATGTAACCTTTTCCTCTCAGTTTCTAAAATTGGGGAGAAGAAAGATGATGAAGGCGTAGAAATGGTTTTTCATTAGGGCAACAAATATCTAAGCAAGACATGAGATAATATGTAACTCTACCGTTAGTGTCGGCTAAAACTCCATTGTCAAATATATTCGTCTTTACGTTGTGGCATGCCTCTTGGTTGAAGTATATTGTTATGCGAATAGTTTCTACTCATAATTTTCTTGTGTAGTTATGCAAAGGTTATTTTGTGTAGTTGACCATAGACTTTAGGTAAAAGATATAATGTAATGATCTGCACTGGGCAGTGGGGCTATTTTACAAGTTTCTTACATATATTGCTATCATTAAGGGAATACCAGGTCGAATGTATCATTTAGACGCATTGTGCAGTTAAAGTTCTAATGAACAAGAGCTGCAGTCACGAGAGTCAAAATCACCACTTACTATCGACAGGCAACCACTGAATATATGGAAGCTGTAAATCCCGGGAATAAATTAAAGTAACTGCAGTCAGACATCATATACATATTTGTGTTGTATATGAAGCAGTATTTATCTAAATGTTTAGGGTGGCTTTTTACGGTGGCATAGTCGATGTAATTGTTTGACAATTTGAAGCATATGTTTCGCGAAACGCACGAATGGATACATTGATGAAAGTATGAGTGAGTGTAGTTACAACTCCTTACTTCTTTGTAGAGCTTCATCAATCCTGACTGAGCACTAAAATCATTTGAATTAACCAAACTGCCATCATACAGATGATACAAACAATTGATGTAATCACTCTAGCGCAACGGTAAACTTTTGGGGATAAAAGAAATTGTAAGTAATCGACTTTTCCCTGCAAAGACCTGCAGTTTGTGCTTAGAATTTCAGGTAAAGTTATTCGAGATACCTTTGTTCGCTCCAAAACACAGTGGTGTTTTTTCGTCTCATTTGATGAAAACATAGCGATAAGTTGTAAACTTCTTAAAATACCTGTGAATGAATTCTGCTATTAGAAGACATAACTATATGATTGAAACAACAAAAGCGAAACAAATTTGAGACATTATGTGTGGGGCAGAAAATTTAGCAGCCCAGAAATTTGAATAGGGTATACGAGTTCATAGAATTGAGGATGAATCCCGAGTTATCCATTTATCAGACAGACACTATCCACATAGGACAAGCTAACATAACGGCCTCCGTAGCGTTCCAGTTTGCTACACCTCATATCAACACATTAAAGCGAAAGATAACGATAGGAATGGTATAGAAATGAAGTGGATATGATCAAAAGTTGCATAAAATTTACAACAACGAAAACAGTACACTAAACTAAGATGTAGGAAGTGCAGTTCTTAATTCAAAGGATCTAAACTTTTACCTTCGCGAAAAGGCTAGACATTTTTATCAACGATTATCTGGTTATCTTTTTAAGTAACATCACGAAGTTTGTAGATTAGTTTCCCTGAAATACTGTATGGATGACACACTTCGTAGTACTGCATCGAGCTGCCACCACCACGTTGTAGAACAATTCACAAGTAAAGCACAGAGTAGTGGGCAAGCTAACCTGCAATGGACCGGATGGTTAGGACATGCATTATGCGTATCTGGCTACCATTCACGTCGACGTATAGTATTAGTAGGGTTAGAAGTAGGTCTCAAGGAGCCATAGTGTTTCCATTCTAAAACTTAGTATCGGATCAAAAAGTCTGAATTGTGTGGAACAATGAAAACTTTTTATTTAGGTTTTTCTGAATAATCAAGACTGGTAATTCGAAACTATATGTATGTCCCGGAATCGGCTCCAGTGACATAAATGCATGCACTTTTTACTACCTTCTTTTCTACAACTGATTTCCTCATCATTATCTATTTGTTAGTTTTCCATCTTGTTGACTCCCGATCAATGTTATGATTTAATTTTTAATCTGAAGCAGTGCACGGTTGCATTTTTCATAAATGAATACGATCTACATGCAAACATATCAACGTAGAACCTGGGACAAGAACGCATCAGTTCAAGTTACCACATTTCAAAACATGGTACCAAAAAGTGGTTAGAATGACAATGACTTTAAAGTAAATCGAAATGTGCAGAGAATCCAGAAAACGTAAATAAAGGTTGATGAAAATGTTCAAGATTTTGAAAATGACAAAGAGTGTATATATCTTCATCATTGTGACCAATTTTGAGCTGTATCACTAAAGTCCTCAACCATGGATTCCAGTCATCTCGGAAATTCTAATTAGCTAGGCCACCTCGTTCTACACTTGTTCAGATCTACAAAAAGTAACTTTATAAATTAGTCACGCGTCTTGGCCTGGCCACCTTCAGTTTTCTCCTTGTCTACTCTTTGAATACAACGAAGATAATATGACCCAAACCCCTTGGGTGTATGAAGTTCCACCTTGATTATATAGTGTCCGTAATATGTCTAGTGAGGCGTTCAAATAGAAAGCTCCCATCTCTCTGCAGTCGATCATAGAGAGATTACTATGCACTAAATAGAAAGAAAGAAAATTACTTTTTAGCGTTAGCAAATCATACAGCATTGTTTTCAGAGTAAAATGTGATTGCCACTAAAAAAAATTTTTTTAAACTTTTTAACAGTGTCATAAGGGTTTCAAATGTCTAGTGTAGATTCTTGTCTTTTTAATTTATATTTCCGAATATTTAGGCTGCTTTACGTCGTACAATGGAGACTGAAATGAGAACAACTCGTTTCTGTTTAACGTGCAATTATGTGACACGTATTATTGAGCCAATTACAAGTCGTTGTGCAAAATTTAGATTTCGTCCATTGGACAATGAAATTGCTCGTGCTCGCTTACGACATATCTCCGATGCAGAAGGCTTATCTGTTACTAATGAAGTAAATTTTTTTCACTTATGTTGATGCTATATTTATTTTATTCATGCAAATAAACTACTTACCGTATGAAATATATTATCATCTGTTATTGCTTTTTAGAAACGTTCACTTCACGAAACCACTTTTCCTAGCTTCATCGAGATATCACAGTTACTATTAAATTTCTCGCTTTTCACTTACCAAAGTGTTTTACAGAGTTTCATCTGCAAATTAGTTGGAGCCTGTCTAGACTTTTCTTTAAAGATCTAACTAATCAGCACGGAAACTTGTGCAGTAACAATACCTTGGTTCAAGTCTCCAAGTCTCCAAATTCACACTACAGGAGAGGAAAATTTTGGAATGAACCCAGGAAAATTATTTGAGCCCGAAAAAAAGTATGCTATTATTTGTGCACCGGTTAGGGGATATCATGACCAGCTTTTAGTGTCCCCTAATACGGAATTCTAATATCGTATGGACTCTGTTCCTTAAGCACATAATCAACTACACAACTCGGACCTCAGTCAGATACTTCATGTTTCGCTGTCATATGGATCTTATCGGTCTAAAGTGTTTTTTTAAGTATCCTTATTCAGAAAACCAGTATATTGAACTGTTGTTAGGCTTGCCAAAACCATATTTCGCCTACCTCAGTCGATTTTCACCGACAACAGTTCATTAATTCATCTCTCATTCTTGAAATGAGGACTCAATGCCAATATTACGTGTTCATTGACTACTTTGCACGTTATTACTGCTTAGGACACAGTGACAAAAAGGTACATTTTGTTGAACTATGTCTTGCCTGAACGATCGTATCTCCCGACTAGAAAGAAAACAGTGAACTTAAAGGGTAGCATAATCGGCGGCTGAGAGAAACTAAATTAACCCAGAGCGGCATACGCCAATCTGAACCACTTTTGGCGCCGTCGCGACGTTGGTCTAACCGTGAAAGGTCGGGTTTACAAGGCTTCGTTTCAAACAGTTCCGCTGTACGCCGAGCTAAGGATTTATGATCGCCGTTATCTCCGTAAGATTGCTCGTATCCGGTGGCAACACCATGTAAGTAATTCTGAGGTACGAGTATGTGTTTGGGCATGATGGAGATCGTCACTTAATAAGTGAAGTCATCTGGAAACACAGACTTCGGTGGCTTGGACATCTGTTACGCATGTCGTCCAAACGGCTTCTATATTTTTCATTGTTTGTTAGCTCTGGGACTGTATAGAAGCGGCGGAGAGGTGGTCAGTGTATGACGTCGCTCCATGGGATGGATATTTGTATCGGGTTAGCATCTGTTGATGTATCACAACTCCCTGGGTGGAGTCTGAGAGACCACACAACTCAGTGGCTTGAGACTTTATCAGATATGGCTCAGAGTCGAAACCAGCGGGGGTTATGCTGTAATTTCCGTCTATCTTCTGCTGCTCAAAAATAGTGAACGTTTTGTTTGGAATGTATCTTACTGGACTTCCTTTCTAATAATTCTATTATTATTGTTTTTTTTTTATTTGTCCACTTCCATCGCTTTATGTCTTCATAATGTTGTTATATTATTTTGTGTGGCGCATTTCCTGGCGCTCTTGCTGTACCGTGTTTGTGTTCTAATAATAATGATGGTAATAGTAACAATAATAATAATAATAATAATAATAATAATAATAATAATAATAACAAAAATTTGTCCGATTGCATATGTCTGTAAGGACTGGGAAAAGTTGTCACACTTGGCGATGCCTATTCTCAGTCTCCGCCCATACTCCCACCGGCTGGACTCCGGATGATACAAAAGATGTATTCTATCAAAAGCTGTCAATTTTGCTACAAGTGAAGAAACTATAAGTTTCTGTCCACAGGTGTCTTCTCAACATTGCTTGCATATGGTGATATCACCGTATGAACAATGTCGAGGTTAGGCGAAGAGTACTGGCCAGGACAGCCAAGTCATTCAGTCAATGAGGTTGTGAACCTTCACTGACTAAAGTGTCCTAAATGTGTTGTGCATGCCGAAGCACCGTCTAAACCGACGTAGAATGTAAACCCAAGTTGAATTATGATAGGAGAAGACCCAGGGTGTCCAGACCATGAGTCTCCGACCGTTCATCTGTGGCGTGTAGGTAGTTATAGACTACGTGACTGGGATCCTCGAGATGAAAGGAACCAATGGCTGAACATCGTTGGTGACATAGCTGAGAAGTGGTCACAATGGCGCAGACATCTTTCAAAATCTGGACATTTTTACAGAATTTCATTTTCAACGCACTGCACCACTTTATCGCATATAGGGTGGTTGGAAGCGGTAGTGCTACAGACCTGTTCGTAGTTTACTTCTGTGTAAAATTTAGTAGGTGATAAACGCTTATCACTGGAATTGTTTGGACAATTTTCCTTTCCTTTTCGAAATGATTAACTAACTGCGCTACTGATCATAATGATGATGATGGGGATATGGGTTTCACAATGTATGACTCCTGTCGAGGATTAGGGGTGGTTTTTAACTACAAGGTGCGTTTAGTGTACCTCAGCAGTTTTGTGTAAAAGGTAACATTGTTAATGGTGTCCACTGAATGAAAACTGCGTCGATATCGCAGTTTACCAGCCCAAAAATACTACTCATTTGTAAAGCAAACATTGATATAATTGGTGTAATTTGTGAATTACTCTTAAGTCGTTCTGCTGGTATTTACTTCATCATAGGTGTGTTTATTGTGAGTATAAGGGAATTATCGAGATGTTTAACTAGCAAAGGACGATTCAACAAGTCTATTGGCATTCGGTACCTAATATTCATCGACTGATTGGAAATTGGATAAATATACTGTCAATATCACCTTGAACTGTAGAGCTGTAGCTCATTAATTTAGGGAGATGACTTTCAACCAATGGGCCATGAGTTCAAATCCGACTCTATCTACTGAGGTTTGGGTAGCCAGATAGTACAGTAGCCCTCACTATCCGTGTGATTCATCGCCTACTGCACAAATGTATACACGGTTACCGAATGCATTTCGATTTTTGAAACTGCATTTATGAGTTTAAATGTGCTCAGGATATCAAGTATTTTGTATGGACCGAGAGAAGTGCTTCAGTTTAGTTCTCTGAGCAACTTCCAAACGATAGGGTAGCAAGGCTCTAACCAGTTTAATTAACAGATACTGGATGTCATTTTATTCATCAAATCTAGTCCTCACTTTTTTTCGATTTTTTTTTACTGTAGCCAGACAATCAATTGGAAATATTTTTGTTCAAACTACTGCAGACTTTTTATCCGTTATAAGGTAAAGGGACTGGTTGGAAGAAACGTACAGTTGATCAATGTATGATGTGGCACTGTAGAATGAAGGATAGTTGTTTTGGGTTAGACTCTACTGATGCCCTACACTTCCCTGGATGAGGTCTGCTAGATAATATAACTTAGTGGTTCGAGGTGATAGCAGATGTGGCTAAGAATGGAAACCACTGGCGATCATGCCTCAATTTATTTATTTATTTATTCTATTACTGAAAAGTAAAACGAAAGTAGTAAATGCAGCTTTGAGACCAGTTCTCCAATAATTCATTTCCGTTCTTCTCTTCTCGTCATATCACATTTTGTCTTAATGTATCTGTATTATTTTTATGGTGTTTTTCTTCTTGACCGTGTTGTATCAAGTTTGTGCTTTAAATAATAATAAAATAAGATGCACAAATGGGCAATTGAGTGAATTCTCTTATCATCAGAGTGCAACTTTAATTGATGTAATTGCTAGGCAAAAAGGACAGTATAGTCGAATAAGTCACAAGCTTTCACCTACTGACTGGAACATGTTGCGCATTACCTACTGCTGACTAAAATAGGATCATATTAAAAGAAAGCCAAGGGTGGCTAAATGACTACATGTCATCAGTCTGTGAAATTTTTGACTGTTGTCCTGAGCCGTGTACGAAAATTTAGGCTTCTACGTTGGGGTCCACGTGACAATTACAGCTCATGGTTCAAAACTCTAGGTGACATGGCTGAGGATCGATTTCATTGACACAGATACTCTCTTCCTCACTTTGTGATCATTTAATCACTACATATCATGTTATCATTTACTTTGATTCCCCCTTTTTATGCATTTATACGTCTTTTGTTATACTAGTTGCTCTTCTGCTTCATTGTCTTTCATCTTGTGACTTTTTTATCATTATTCAGACATTAGATCATTTACTATCGCTTTGTCATGGTGATCTACGTCGAGGCATTACAATGCTACAATGTGTCCATCAGTTAATCATGTCATCTGATAACTCCTGTGATACAGATTGTCACCCATCAATCACACCAAAGGAATTAGATGAAGCAGCATCTGTTGTACCTAGTGACTTAATTAAACAATTTATGAAAACATCAGAAAATGGTAATTTCGATGAATTGCAAGTTATCATTAAAGTGAGTTAGGTTTCCTTGAACATTAGATTTTTTTTCTTTCGAATATTTTAGTCGATATGCGAAAATGTTAACCATTGGTTTAAACACTCGGCTTCTGAGTAATAAATACAGGTTTCGAACCCGGTTTCATGTAATTTAGCATGAGAAACCAAGTAGTAGCATAACACCTTTCACGACACTAATACACAAATTTATGCGGGGTTCAGCTGCTTTATTACTGTCGTTTTAGATGGTATGTAGTGTCTGTAAGTTAAAGTGGATTGTAATCATTTGTGTTAACTAACCTACCATTGTATTTTAGATGTGTGCCTATCATGAAGAGTCCATAGTTTTGATTCACTTCAATTTAGATAACTGATTTTCACACTAGCTTAGCTTGCGAAGTATATTAAGCTAAGCAATAAGCGAAATATATACGTAAATTCCCGTTCAATTGGAAAAGTAAGTAAGTAAGTTCTGCGACCTTGCAGAAGCAACTTCTTAAAAATAGCTGTATATTACCTGAAAGAGCGCCTTCCAAAAAGTTACGAAACGCCAGGAACTCATTTTTCTACTTCATCGGGATTTAGCAAAATCTATTTCCAGTAGTCAACGTATTCATCAGTTCCATCAGGCTGAATTTTGATCATCATGTCGACAAATTATATATATATATATATATATATATATATATATATATATATATATATATATATATATATATATATATATATATACCTATGCTAGGTAACTATGATCATAAAAAGTGACTGGTAGTGTCTACTTACGTCTGGTAGCTGAATTAGACATTTACTCCCTACTTTATATTAGGATTTGTTGACCTCTTGCTTCACAAAATCCGTTTTGCATGTCGTCAGTACACAGTTATACTCGATAGATCATAATGAGAAAACGTAATTCTGCATTTCGAACTGAGTTTTCAGCGTGAATTAACACAGTGATTCAGAATAGGATCAGTAATAGTGATGCAATGTCAATCGCTGTTGACAATTGTCCTACCCAATCACCGACGAATAGAAAAAAAACCAGGAAAGAAATTGCAACGGATTTATTGATTATCTCCTGTCTTCAAGTTCAGTCCGAGGAGGTTACCTTGCCCTATGTTTTCACCACCTATCTATTCTACTTGGTAGGAATTGGTTGCGTCTGTAAACCACTTCACTGCCTTCACCTGAAGGTAGGATTCGACTCCGTCGATCAAGATTCCCTATCATGGTACCTCAGTTAAGTTAGTGTATGTTAATTACATCACTCTTTTGAAAACTTTGTTTTCGAACACCTGTGGGCATCAGAGCTTCTGGTAAGGTACCAGGTGGTTTGTGTATTTTAAGTGATGTCCTTCAAGGATTGCCACTCTCTCCATTTTTATTTAACTTTGTTAGTTCCCTGGACTGTGGACGTCTTCCTCTCTACATGTTACTCTGTGAAGGTCGACTTTACTATTAATGAATCCTAAGCAGACTTAGGGTACGCAGAGGATCTAGTCCTATTAGGTGAAAATGCAGTCTTCTAAGTACGTTGAGTAGCAACTGAACTGTATTTGAGATGTGTTACTCTTCACTTAAATGCAAATTGTTGTTCCGGACTGGTCTACGTTAGTGCCTTGTCTGACAATGCGGAGTATAATGGTTGAGTGGGTTTTCTGACTCACCCGAGAAGTCGTTATCAGTCGCTGTGGGTCAGTGACCGACGAAGTCTCTGCACCAATACATAAAGTTCGTTTGACTTTCGCGTTTACAACGTAGGCGTGATTTCCGGTTGCCTGCTGTGGGTCAAGTGTACTATGTAGCAGTTTGCTCTATCGTACTATGTGGTTATAAAGCATGGTCATTAAAGGTAGGGGAAATAAAGAGGATTCAATTCTAAACTACCTTTGCTTTCGTAACGCAGGCTGTCTGTCGTGGAACCACTACGTCAGTAACACAGAAGAGGTAAGTCGTTTGGTAAGGTTATGCGCGTTCATTGACTCAAATGACTCGGACATGTGTTGTGCACACATTATAACCGACTACCCTATCGCGCAATGTTAGCTGAAGTAGGTTCAGGCAAGAAGGAGTTTAGAGGTGGCCAGACTAAAAGCATTCCAATGTACGAAGTCTAACCATTGGCTTGGGCCGTGTAATGAAATGTTGGCTCTCTGGTTGGGATCCGCATGACAACTGAATTCGGTGGTTGAGATTCTATGTGGTACCACTCTGAATCGATATCAGTAACACAGATGCATTCTCACAAACATCATCCTAATCATCATATGGAATTTTGTGTTGATTTATCCCTTCTTCCACTCTTTCTGTGATCTTTGACGGAATTTCCCTCTCCTATATCTGTATCTTTTATTTTGTTGCCTTGTATCTTGATGCGCTAGTGTAAAGTGTGGCAACTTGGGCTGTTACTCAGTAAATGCCAGCTTCCACATCTATACTGATTGACTGTCTGGTTATCAGCCAATATAAACTTTAACTGTCTTGAAATATCCCCTATGTTGTACATAATCTATAGTATTTTCGGAACTTCTTATAATTGATTATTATCTTCAATAAATTTTAACTTCAGAATATATTGTTGGAGGGTTATTCAGCACACCAGACCACTTACCAACTGCATGACGATATAATCAATGATGAAAAACTATCATGTATGCAAAGGCATCCATTCTAGAATGTTTGGCTGTAAGTTGAATTGTATGTAAAAGTCAGTTTGACTATCCATAATCGAATTTTGTTGTACTGCATTAATTACGGGGTGAAATAACTATTTTGGTTTAGGATCTGAACTATATGCATATTTCCTGCGTGTAAAGAGCTCCGCCTGATGGGTGGGGACTGCGTCGCATATTGTAACCCCACTTCAATTACCGAAGTTTGGGCAATGGCACCGTATCACAAGTTTTTATACATTACGTGTATCTTGTAGCCTAGCTCATGACCAAGTAATTGTTGGCGTATATTCTTTTCACAACGTTCCGTTTGAAATATTCTTTCGGATTGAATTCCATGCTTATTTCATATGATGTTAGGTGAAGTAGTTTCAACAACCTACTAACCAAATTTAAGAAGAAAGGGAGCGTTTTTAAGCACTAAATTCATTTCTGAAGTTCCAAGCTTTTTCACTATATTCTATCTAATCAAATGTTTTACTGGCAGGGATTTCGAAATCGACCAACTGGATCCAAATAAATAGAGGTTCTACATTAGTCGATTAGGTATCAGCAAACGTTTTTGTACATTGATTGGTCACTGGAGGGTAATCAACTTTATGTTGTCCAGAACTAAGTCCTGATCGAATTCTGTCGATCATTTTGCAATGTGGCCACCAGACTAGACGGTTCAGCTTCTCAATGCACTTTGATAGATGTTAGTTGGCTAGAGGTGATCAGCAGGAAGCCCTGGACCTAGGTTTCGTGCTTGTTTGCACTCATCAGCAAGGAGTATATGCAACCCCGATAGAATTCGATCAGCACTTAGGACTAGACAACATGAAGTTGGTTACCCTCCTATGACCAATCAGTATATCTAATCCAGTTCCACAGCAGGTCGGTCGTGCCCTGAACGGAACATTGGTAACGTCGTTGGCTACAACATTGGTTGACGTGTGTTCGAATCTCAGGCGGGACATCGGTTCTGATGAGGTTGCAGATATGCCTTGCTGACGAGTGCCAAGAAGGAGAAAACTTAGGTCCAGGGCTTTCTGCCGATTACCTCCATCCAACCAACAAATGTTTACGTAATGGAGTTTGAAAATCGGTTAATAAAGTTACTACTGGAGGTATGTATCCCACTAGCTTTAGCACTCAACTTTTAAGCCATGTATCCGAAGTTTAAATCCTGGGAAGCCGTTAGTATCAAAAGGAAGTGTGACTCGAAACTTATTAATCAAATATGTGCACCGAGTTGAGTTGTTTTCCCATAGAGCAGGATAATTGATCGGTGTGTTAAAATCAGTAGGACCAGTTTCCAACCATTACCTAGTAAGGACAATAACAACGAATCACTGCCATCCTAGAAACTCCAACTAATCTAGGCTTCTGTCATCCTGCTAGATTCTTTGATGTCAAAGATTTTGTCCCCATCCCCGAACAGTTTAGGGCTTTTCTTATCTTAATCCCTATCTGCCGGGCGTATCACAGATGTTGGCTTAACGCGCCGAAATATACCCCTCCCAAAATCCTATCAATGGTAGGTTTTTAATGTCATCCATCAACCGACTGGTCTCTCCATAATCCAAAACATTTCAACTACTTCACAGCCTCCTCGTCTATATCAAATGACGTACTGATAATTGTCTCAAAAAATCAAGGCAGTTATTTGAAGGATTCATGGTTCGAGATGAGATAATGATGATAATAATAATAATGTAGATTGCAAGGTTATTCTGTGGTTTCCTTTGAAAACCGAAATGCCCAGACCACAAATTATGGTCTGATTGACACGGGTAGTTGGGATTCATTAGCTTCAAAATTTGACTTTCGAGCAATGGAATGGGGTTGAAATCCCGCCGCATCTGCTTTGACCTGGACAACTGGGGAGTGTCATAAGCCCTCAGTAAGTGTGGTTCTTATAGCTCAGTACATAAATATGTACCAGGCTGAGTTACATCATTACTGACATGAAGAACAGCAAAAAAAAGACAAGCAGAAAAACTAAAAGATATATACTGCTGCTTGACATCAGTAGTTGAAAAGTAATCTAACCAACTAGTAACGCTTTCCAGACAGAAAGAACTATGATGAAATCTCTAGGCCGTTATCTGCTACCTTGACGAGGTGGTCGGGCGTGCATATCACAGTGACCCAACGAGCTACACTTACCGGGATGTTTTTGCTTTGTAGGCCCTACCGTCCCAGAAAGGTCTGTTGGACAATGGTAAGACGAAGAGTAATCACCGTTATCGTGTAAATTGCTTCTCTACGCCGGTGGTCTCGGGGCTGGACGGTGTGACAGCAGTAAGATGTTTCCTTTGGATGACCAGAAGTGCCACACTGATGCTACCTTCCCTGTGGAAACAGAGTGATTAAAAAGGTCGGCCCCAAAAATAGCACACCCCCACCCCCTTGTGGCATCCCATTGGATGCGACAGGTATTCATAGTCGTTTTCGAAAGCAAGAAACATAAACTGCCGGAAGGCCAAGTATAACCGACATCACATGGGTCCTGCGGTCCCACAAATCATTCTCGTTCAGGGGCCTTAAGGAAAAATAGCCTTCTACACTTATGCTGTAAGCCATTGTTGGGTAGGATCGGTGGGGGATTGCCGCTGTTTCTGGAGTACCAGTTTGGACTCCGATCATGCGGTAGTATACGTTCATATATGTCTGCTTTACTAGTCGTAGAAAACAGGCGATAGTAAAGACGATGATTGATAGGAAGATGAGAACGTCAAGTACACATTTAAGGAAGTGATCGCTAAGTATTTGTGTGAGCATGACAGCAATGCTCATCCTGAGAAAACCTGACGTTGTATTAAGTGTGTTGTAGAAAGCAGGAGTAGAGACAGTTTGTAACGCACTCGAAGATTCGAAACTTCATTGAATTTCTACGATGCCATCTGAACTGATTGATGCGAGAAGAATGATTCCACAAGGCTTGTACCACGATGGCTGACTTCCAAAATCAACGTAGAACCTCGCACACAGTCATATAGACTCAAGTTGACACATTTCACAGTAGTACACAAAGAACATTTGATTAAGAAAAGACTGGTATCAGAGTTGTGTGAGAGAATAAACAACCCGAAGATTAAGGTCAATGCCTGTAGTCAAGCTTTGGAAGTCAAGGAGTGAATACATCTCCACCATTGTCACCGATTTTCAGCCATGTCACCGACAGTCCTCATCCAGTGATCCCTTTCGTCTCGAAGAGCCAACCAGCAAGTCCGCACCGCCCCATACACGGCTCAGGCCAACAGTAATAGACTTCGTCAACTGGTGCCACTTCTTGGTCTGGCTACCCTGAACGCTCTCCCAACATAATCCAACTCTTCATTGAATCGCATGTCGAGGAAGATGGTGGATCTGTGTGTGCAGTACATATCCAAGCTATCTCAGTCGACTAAGGCACACAACCTCATCACTCGACTTATCTTGCTTGCTTAGTTCCCTTCTCTCGACCTCAACATTGGTCACATGGTGATTCCGTCAAACGCGTGCAACGCTACGAAGACAACTATGGTCGAAACCGTGCAACTGCCTCACGTCGTCTATGTTTAACGACCATATCTCACAGCCGTATAACAGGACGGTACCGACTTCAAAGCAGTATATCCGTCCTTTGACACATAGCCGGGTATCTCGCCAGTCGGAACCAGAGGCGATGCAAGTTGACAAATGCCAGACGGAGCTTCTGTGTGTGAGCTGTGATTTCGTCAGTAATCGACTCGTTCAGGCTAGTGCAACTCCCAAAGTAAGTGAAGTGGTCGACATATCCCACCACTGGGAGTGGTTGCAGCAGACCAGTCCTGGAGCCTCATCTCACACGACAGGTGCGAAATGCATGCCAAAGATACACAGATTTCTGCTTAACGCGTTCAAAAGACTGTGATTTGTCAGCTCTCTCACCCAGCAGGACAATATCACTTGCATACTCCAAGCGAACTAGATGACCTCCAAGAAGTAGGTCAATCTCTGTGAAGTCAGACGTATCTAAAGCTACATCCATCAGTACGTCTATGAGGAAGATGAATAGGAACGGTGACAGTGGACATCACTAGCGAACACCACTGGTTGTTGTCCATTCGCATGACAACTCTCCGTGCCATGAATTTCGCACCTGTTAAATGTAAGGTGTTGCTTCAGGACTAGTCTTACACCATTCCTAGTTTAATGGTGGGGATTTAAGTGTAGGAATGTGTCGACCACTTCACTCACTTATGGGGTTGCATCAGGCTGAACGGGCTAGTTGCTGATGCAATCTCACCTCGGATATAGACGGATCGTTTTGCATTTGCCAACTTGCATCACCTATGACGCTGACTGATGAGAGATCCGACTACATATCGAAGAACGATTATACTGAAGTCTGTGCTGTCGTGTTGTATGGCTGTGAGACATGATTGTTAATAGGAGAATATATAAGGCGATTACAGGGTTCGGATCATAGATGTCTTCATAACACTGCTCACGTCTGGTGAAATCATCGTGCCAGCAATGTTGAGGTCAGGGGAGTGAACTAAGCAAGAAAGACAAGTGAATTGATGAGTTTGTGTACCTAAGTCGTCTGAGGTGTCTTGGAAATATGCTGCGCGTCGCAATCCATCAACACTTACCTTGACGTACCATGTAATTGGAAGCTAGTTTAGGTTGGAAGACACTTCAGAATGGCCTGACCAATACGTGTCACCAGTCGATGAAATTTCTTACTGTTAGTCTGAGTCGTGTAGTAAGATGTAGACTGCCTGGTTTGGGTCCGCGGGTTGAAATGAATCAGTGGTTGAGGTCTCCTCCTGTCGTGGCTGGAATCGATCAGTGGTGCAGATGTATTAACCACTTGACATCTAAAGCTTGAGTATTTGCTCTGACTAGCTTCATCTTCAGGTAGTTTATTCTCTTACACAACTTTTTCTTTCTTAATACCAGTCTTTTCCTATCCACCTGTTCTTTGTTTACTACTGTAAAGTGTGGTAGCTTGAGCCGATGCACCTGTATGCGAGGTTGTACGTAGGTTTTCTCAATCATAATGAAATGTCACCTTTGGGTGGGTTACACCTAGCCGTGTCATTCTCATCACGGACTAAATGTTTTTCAAACACTTTTTGTTCCGGAATATCAATAATTCACCTAACTAACTGTCAGGCTATTAAATACTCTGAGCTCAATCAGTTAGGGCACATCAGCGCTGATGAGCTTTACACCAAAGACCGTCTCTTGTTTAGATCACCTTTATCTGGTTATCAAACGCCAGTGATGATTGGTCAAAATGGTTTCCTACTGCCCCATAGACAGTGGTATATATCGTGCTGGTAACACTTTTACTTCACATGGTTCATTTAGATGGAATGAAAAGTGTTAAGAACTCAAAAATGGTAACAAAAGTGCAATTATTGTTATTGTTTTCAAAATACTGTATATCTTATCTTACCAATTTCATAAAAAAACTATTGGTTTTTGCCAATCATTGTTTCACGAAATTATTTTAAACATTTTTTGTTTTAGCTTGCCGATTCTCGATTAATCGATGGAGCTGATGAATATCTTCAACTCTTGGCAATTGAGGTACCCTTTTAAAAACTATTCAGTCGAATTAAAGGATTATATACCACCACTTATTTTCATAACAGAGATATATTATGAATATTTCATATTATGACTTTTGTTTTCCTCTTTATCATTAATGCCACTTGGTTATGGTTAAGTGTGTGTGCATAAACCCTGTGGAATGAATAGAGGAGTAGACGTTGGTCACTTTGGTAGAGAATTATTCGATTGGTTGATATCTGGAGAGTAACCAATTTCATATCGTCTAATCCTAAGTACTAACTGAATTCTGTTGGTCATTTTTCAGTGCGGTCAACAAGCTAGGAGACTCGCCATCATGGTACACTTCGATTGACCAGCTAGAAACTCTGAACCTAGGGTTTTGTGCTTGGTGGGAGTCGTCAGCAAGGGGTATCCGCAGCCTCGAATGAAGTGATGTCTCCTTAGAAATCTAAACATGCGTCACCCAGTGCTGTCAGTCAGTTATTCCGCATTAGCCTATTATTCGGTATATTGTATGCAGTGGTTTATTGTTACTTACTCAAGGATGCTTTAGAAACAGTTTATCCTCTGCAGTTGTAAGTTAAAATAGGACCAAGCATTACTGCACATTGGTTCAAGTTGCCAAACTTCATATCAACACTGCAAGTGACAAAGCAGTAAGATGAGAGATGAAGAGAGAAAAACCGATCGAGAGCAGTATAAAGCAATAAAAGAGAGGAAGGAAGAATGAGAAAATGATGAATTCAGTATAGTGGTTAAGATGAAGATGACTTGTTAATACATCTGCGCCACTGAAGTTGATTCTGAACCAGCCATATCACCTAGAGACTCCAACCACTGGTTCCGCTTGTCACGTGGACCCCAACCGAAGTCTACATCTCTCAACATGACTCAAAGCAACAGTCAAGGACTTCATGCAATGATGCCGTGTTTCAGTCCGATCGCCCTAAACATTATTTCAGCCTGAACCTACTTCAGCCAACTTTGTACGACGAGGCAGATGGTGACTAGGCATGCGGAACACATGTCCCAGTCATATCAGTCGATGTAGGTTAACAACATTATCAACTAAAGTTGTGATTCCCCCCCCCCCCCAAGAAAAACTCTACTCTAACGTCTGCGTTACTGACATGGGGACACCACGACACGCGGTCTATGCTATGAAGATAACGGTGGTCGAACACCCGAAGCCTTATTATGTCGTTTACCTCTAATTGCTATGTTTCGCAGCAATAGAGTGGGACACAGGGAACTCCAGCACAGTACACTTGACCCCAAGTAGGCAACTAGATATCACGGCAGTGCCACAGATAGTGTAAGTTGGCGAAGACCAATCGATCCTTTTGTATCTTAGCAGAGATTTCATCGATCACTGACCCACCATGGCTGATCTGACTTTCTAGGTAAGTGGAGTTGTCCATCGCATGGCATCTTTGAGGGACACCACTCGATGTACACAGCTCACCTTACAAGTCACCATAAACTGCAACACGCTTCCGAGTGCTCGAGTAAAGAGACTTTAACGGAGTGATGTACTTATTCGGTACCCCTTTCATTCAGAGACAATGCCGTAAAACCTTTCGATCGACTGAGTTGAACCCCGCCGTGAGGTTGAGAAATACAGCTAACATCGGTGTGTCTATGTTCAAGAAACTGACAGAATGTGGATATTTGGTCGAAACACCCAAGGCCAGGTGTGAATCCAACCTAGTTTTTTCGGGCTTGCTGTCCCCCAGCTCCACTCAGTCTTCTGAGGATTTGACGACCTAGAATCTCCGACAGTATATTCTTCAGGCTGATTCCTCTGTAGTTATCACAAGAGGATTTCTCACGTTTTTTTGAAGTTTGGGACACAGTGATTGAGATCAGTCAGAGTGGATCACAACTGACTTCCATACATTAGTTAACATTTCATTTGACTAAAAATTCTTGTCGACCGTCTGTAAATACCTTTGGAACTAGTCTATTTGGCCCTGCTGCTCTTCGTCGTTTCAGGTTAACCACCACTTTCTCAAACTCTACAAGTAGCTGGAGGCCGGTTAAACTGTTCATCGAAGCGTCCCGCCCATCCTCCTAGTCGTCTCCCCTGTGAGCGAATCCAGGACCCATACTTCTCCTCTATCATCTCACTAAAAATTGACCTTTTCGCTTCCGTATCTTTAATAAATTAAAATAATGATGGATATTACCCACCGCCTGTCCCTTTTTCAATCTCAATAAACTTCCTTACCCATCACTGTTCGCCGTCATTGCGTAGAATTTTCTCAGTCTACCTTAGTGTTGCATTCGCTCCTCACTGCACTCAGCGAATGCAGTGATGCGTCCACGTGCAGGCATTATTCTAGAAGCTGCTGACATCCACTAGCTTTTTTCAACCTCTCACTGATAGTGGGATACGGTCTCCAAAGCTATTTACACAGAAGATTGCAGCTGGGGCAAACCGTCCCCTAAAAGTCATATCATTCTGCTTCTATAACTGCGGAGCCACTTCCTCAATAAAACCGGCGGAAGTGCCTGAGCTGCCCTGGCAATGGTCTTGTTATCTTACGTCCATTGAGATGCGAATATACACTCGCTTGAACAAACGCGTGGTCGCTCTTTAGAAGGAGCGGCAGTTCCCCACCAACCTTCTCCATGAGACCGACAGCAATAAAATCGATCTGTCCACCGCTGGTTTGAGCGCGGTAAACGCCATGTCAGGCAATGTCTCTCTTTATAACTGAAATTTGTGCTGACTAATAATAAACGGTTATCTAAGCACAATTGTAGTAGGTGATCTCTATTACCTGTTCGTTTGACTGGAATTTGGAAAGTGCTTGCCCATTTGTCCAATGAAATCACCTGCAAAAACAACCACGTCTGAGCGCATGGCTTTCAATGGCAGACTAGAAAGATTTCGCCAGAACTCACCCCCCACTTCATCCGAACTGCAGTCAGTGAGTGCGTGATCATATATTACAAAGAGACAACAGCGAGTTCCACTATTCCTTTTTGTCCTCAATATACCATTCAGTTGAAAAGCGCATGGGTGACTGACGACTGAGATCTAGTCGAGCAGACAGCTTCCCGCCTTAGTGATCAGTGCTAAACCTACACCTGGCAGACTGTGAGAACTGGTCATCGTATCCCCAAAAACTCGAAGAGCGAACTCATCATATTGGCCAGATACCGTTAAGTGAATAACCGCACTTGGGTCCTGAATGCATGTCTCACAAAAGTAGCACACATCCATGGTCCGTATTGCTAGAACTTTGACTAGATAAGCTTGTTGGCCAACTTGATGCAGGGTCCGGACATCGAAAGCTCCAATGTGTAGTTTGGATCGCGGTTTCAGAAGAATAAGGGTGCTGTTCTGTGCACTCAAATCCTCGTCCAAAAATGCGAAGCGGGGAGAAATTAAAGATGATGTAAGATAATTGACTGAGAAATGTGAAGAAAGAAAGACTCTCTCTCATACAGTCGGAACCGATCTCCTCCTCCACAACCAGCATCATGACAGCAAGATTCAACTCAAAAGGAAGGAAAGTCACAATCATACAATGCTACACTACGCTACACACCTACAAATAGTGCAGATCACAAGAAGGAGGGGGAATTCTACAGACAACTGCAATCAGTACTGAACATGATCCCACCCCAGTAGGCAACATCAAAATTCATTCTAATGGGTGACATGAATCCCAGTCAAACTCGGAGCGGACAACACAGCAAGAGAACCAATCATGGGTCGACAAGCACTCGGTGAAATGAACGACAATGGAGAACTCGTTAAAGACTTCTGCGCATTCAACGATTTGGTGATTGGAGGCACTGTGTACAAACACAAGGATATTCACAAAGTGATATGGATTTGATTTCACTAGACACCAGGACACACTACACTGAAAGTCAGATAGACTTCATCTCAATCTCAAGGAAGTGGAGACAGCCTACTTGACACAAGGTCAAGAAGGGGAGCAGATGGAGGTTCACACCCCTCACTATCTAGTGCAACGTACCTACCTACCTTCAAAATCAAGTTGAAAGCTTTCACAGAAGTTAGTGATAGGCCACAGTTCAAGTTCAACACCCAGAACAAAAACTGAACTGAAGGACGAAACTACACAGAAATTCTTCACGGCAGCCATCAAGACAAAATGGGAGACATTAAGCAACATCCCTGAAGGATCAGGCGTGGAATACTGGAACTCTTCGGAAGAGACGTGGCAGGAAACCTGCACAACCGTTTTAGGAGGAAGAAGAAACAAGACCAGACAAGGAATGGATCTCGACGGATACATGGAAGCTGATAGAGGAGAAGAGGATGGTTAAGCAGAAGATAAACCAGTGCAAGGATGAACAACGGAGAGAGGAACTAAACACAACCTATAAAACACTGGACAAAGGAGTGAAGAAGAGTGCACGGAAAGACAAAAGACACTTCCACGACACACTGGCTAGTGAAGCAGAACAGGCCGCAGGTAGGGGAGACCTGACAACATCATATCAAATAACCAGTTTACTATCCGGGAAGAGATCAACGCAGATGAAACCAATTAAAGATATCAGAAGAGACCTAGTTACCACCAAAGAGGAGAAACAATGGGCCGACCACTTCAAAAAGCTCTTGAATCGACCACCACCATCAGCTGCAACACGTCCAGAAATACGATCAGCAGCGGCAGAACTACAAGCGAACACAGGTCCTCCGACAAAAGCAGAAGTCCTGAATGCCATAAAGCTGCTGAAATTCGGGAAAGCAGCAGGATCTGATGGAATTCCGCCAGAAGCAATGAAAACAGACGCAAAGACAACAGCGGACATGCTCACACCACTATTGCAGAAGGTTTGAAAAGAAGGAAGGAAAGGTACCTGCCAGTTGATAGGAAGAAGGGCTACTTTGTCAAAATCCCAAAGAAGGGAGACCTAGGTCTTTGCAAAAACTGGCGCGGAATCATGCTGCTGTCCACCACAAGCAAAATATTAAGCCGCATCATCCTGGAGAGACTAAAACATACACTGGATTCAAAATTACGACCGGAACAGGCTGGCTCCAAGAAGTACAAATCATGTGCGGATCAAACTACAACACTACGCATCATCATAGAACAGAGTATAGGATGGCAGTCAACTCAACCTCAACTTTATCGACATTGAAAAGGTCTTTGACAGCGTCGACCAAGAAGTAATTTCACAGGCAGTTGCTTCAACACTACGACTTTGGTGCCACAAATCTTCATCAACCTCATTCAACAACTATATGACGACGCCATATACCAAGCGATTCACAATGGAAAGCTCACTCACGCCTTTCAAGTGAAGACAGGAGTAATACAAGGCTGCCTACTATCACCGATGACCTTCCTGATTATGGTTGACTGGATCATGCAGAAAACCGTGAGAAGCGAGAAAATGGGCGTACACTGGACCGGTGAAAAGACCCTAGAAGAAGATTTGGATTTCGCCGATGATGATTTATGTCTAATGTCTTATCGCATAAACTCGAAGATCTACAGGCAAAAACTAACAAGTTGACAGAAGAGGCAGGGCAGTGAACACGGAACTTCAAGTGAACGTAGAGGTGGACGGAGGTGATGAAGATACCCAACCAACAACAGCATCAATAACGAGAGGCACCAATCACTGTAAACGGGAGAAGCCTAATGGAAGCAGTCTCTTTCACCTACCACCTAGGCAGCATCGTTTCAACTACAGGCGGCATAGACGAGGATGTCAAAACCGGTATCGGAAAATCAAGACAGGCGCTCATTAATCTGAAATCAGTGTGGAGATCTACTTCACTCCACTCAGCACAAAGCGTGGACAAGATCCGGATTCTCAACACTAATTCAATCAAGTAAGTCAGTGTTTCTATGTGATGGTTCAGAAACTTGGCGCCTCACAAAAAACATTTCCAACAAATTACAGACATTCATCAACAGCTGTCACCTACGCTGGCTCGGTACTGAAGATCATATGGCCAGAAAGAATAAGCAACAAGAAACTCACTCTGGGAACGAACCAACAAAGAACCTATCACTCACCAAATATACACAAGAAAGTAGAGATGGATTAGATTGGGCATACACTAAAAAGGCTGACTGGGGACATCACGCGCCAGGCCCTTGAGTGGAATCCAAAGGGGAAACGACGAGTTGGGAGTCCGAGGCGAGGGTGACATGGAGATCATGTGAGGAAAAAAGAGAGCTTCTGTGCCGTTGTGGCGCCAGGTTCAAAAGACTGCAAAGAATAGAGTGCAACGGAGGCGAGCTACTGAAGCTCTATGTTCCACTAGGAACCCAGGGGAAAAATAATAATAGTTGAACTATGGATAATGTTACGTAAACAGATGTGACAATGTAACTGGCGGTTCATGATTTAGCCTCTCTTTTGGTTCTGCGTTATCACCTTTTGTTTCAGGAAATCAGTTAGTCACTTTTGCATTGCGAATTTCAACTGCCGACAATATCGAGTTATGACAGTCAATTAATCTTCGTGTGTACTTGCATTTGTCAAGAAAACGTCTTGCGTGTCATATCCATGGGCTATTTTGTCATTCATATCCTGTGATATTTGAATTTAATGTGATGATTACAACGAATGCTAGGAGAATGTCAATTGTACACATATTGAAATTATCCAGAACACGGACTTGATAGAATCTACTAAGACTCTGGTAAGTCATTCAGCACGAGATTTTTCTATATTTGGGTTTTGTGTTTGTCGGCCCTGATTGTCAAAATTTATTTCCCACTTCAAGGAAGCTTAATTTTACGTTGAAGATTCTAATCTACCTCATTGATTTCTTAAATTGACAAACTTGTGAGTGAGCTATTCTGACCGTGACTGAGCGCCTGATGTATGCAAATTAGCTATTGAGCGGTAACCGATGTACTTAAGAAACCAAGTTCTCAATTTATAGTTTGAATAATATTTAACAAATACGCTACTATGACCCACTCTCCTAAAACCATAGACTGAAAATTAGTTCACTTTTTAGCAGGGAATAACACAGTGTTTGGTTGCAAATTTGTAACATACGAGGACAAATCTAAGATCAGCAGAAATTATACAGTTTCGAAGTACAATAACAAACATTCTGATAAGCATTCGGGCTACTTGTGAGTAGTTAGTATAATATACATGCCGAGAAAGTTTACTGCAAATCACATAATAAGATGGTGCACTGAGAAGCCCTACAACTAACCGAATAATTTTATGCAACCACATATAGCTAAAGATGAACTAATGTACACACCATTCATCACGAAATGAGATATCACTTTACACAAGAATAAAGTCTGTGTTTAGTTCATGAGACCTATCGGACTGTCATATGCTGAATACCACCTTGTGGATGAATACGAGTTTGACCAGATGACGTCATTGACCTTTGTTGCTGCTTCTGTTGAGCCTGATGATCTGACATAGCATGTATGTTACCCACAGTCCCTGCAACACCACCGCCGCTGCCAGCACCACCACCACCTGCCGTACCTGATGACACCATCATTGAACCAGTGTGACATTGTTGGTGTGTCCCACTAGACATACTTGAAGATGATTGATTCGCAGTAGAATTATTACAACCTGTTGCATTGACGCCACTTCCAGATGTATAGTTTTGTGAAGCATGTGGAGGCTGAACGACTGGACGTGGAAGCTTCTTCAGTAATATGTTAGGCATTTCAGCCAGTTCATCGAAACGACGCCATAGATCGTATAGACTGAGCAAATGACGACAAATTTCTAGAACCTAAAATAGCAACAAATAGTAGATTTTATCAGTCTCTACGAACTTAGTGATTAGGAAACGATTTCAAAAAGATATAAAAACGACGAAAGAAAGCTGGACCAGTGAATACATCGTTAAGGAAATAGGATGTTTATCTAGAATTACTTTCCCACTAATGTTGTTCAAGGTAAATCTTTCAGTGATATTCGACAAAGCCTTTCCAATGCAAACTGAAAATTCCTGAATATCCATCGCATCAACCTTCACAACTCGTTTCGCTCATAACATTACACTTCAGAAGAAAAAAACTGGTACTTTAAATATGTAGTTTACCAAAATGACGGACACACTGGACAGATAGGCTTATGTAGAATTTTGCACAAAAGTGAGATGGTTCAAACCGTTAAACATACGATCGCAAGACGTTGAGTGATGTAAAAGAAAACGAGAAGAAATATAACAAACAATTGAGGGTGTTCAGAATTTCAATAGTAGGCAGAGGATGCATCTGTTTCATCCAACTTAGGACAGTGAAATATGTACAGGAAAAAAGGGACTTCCGACTCAAGACTTGAAAATCAAATGTTATAGATAAAACAAATGAGTCTAATGGCAATATCAAGTGCTATTCATTAGATGCTTTGATTTATCACAATACTGACAATAAACAAATGTCAAGACAAAACTCGAAGACTGAATAACACCAAACGATTGTCATTCTCATGCTGGGCTACAAATCTCTACAAGCTCTCAACAATTTTTCTTATCACTAACTATTTGTGAAAACCCCTCAGTGTCATTCAAATATACTTCTCATGAGTGGCATGTTTCGCACTTGTTCTTAATTAGTTACTGCAGTTGTTTTATTGGTTGCTGTAATGATCGGATACTCTGAGAGATTAAACTTTTAATTTCTATCCTAAGCTGATTGTAGCTTGCATGTACTTTACAGATCACTTTAGCGTAAATATATGAAGTGTTCTGAGTTAGATTCGTCAGAATTATATAGACTAATATAGTGGTTTGCAAGTGTAGAGAAACTTACTGATTTCAAAATGGTATTCATCACAGACTGATACCAGTTGGAAAGGTATTCAGAATCTGGAAGAACTCGACAGAGCTTCGTCTTAGCAAGGGACACCTCACCAATGAATACCGATCACACAGCGAAACTTGGAGGTTCTGGTTCGGTCCCTGGTGTGATTAAGTGTGTACACTGCCGAACAGTTCCATACTAGGATGAGAGTTGTCCAGGGTTCCCAGGTTTTTAAAAGTTCAACTGATGTCAGTTCGTGATGAATGCCATCTTGGAATCTAATATCTTGGTTGATGCATAGTGATAAAGATTAATAATCAACAGTCAGTAAGTGGAAGGTGTTTATGGCGACGGAATTTCCCATGGAATCCATGGCTAGTTCAAAGTCAGAAATTCTTTATCATAACTTGTTCATCACTTCTCTATTAGACTAATCACAGATGAATGTGTTAATAGCTTCAATTTAACTTCACAACCCCTCATTTTCATCTGAACAATTAAAAGGAAAATGAACATGTCGTTTATTTACTGGTAATCAAAGACAAATGTCAAGATTACACCCTTAACCTCTATGCATCAAGCTGTTTTGAAAAAGTACTAACTCTAGGCATAAGGAGAGGTACTGTCTCACATGGCGTCCGTCGACATCGAACCAACGATGGACACAGATGAATCACATCGCTGTAAGCCATCGTTGGGTAGGATCGGTGGGGGATTGCCGCTGTTTCTGGAGTACCAGTTTGGACTCCGATCATGCGGTAGTATACGTTCATATATGTCTGCTTTACTAGTCGTAGAAAACAGGCGATAGTAAAGACGATGATTGATAGGAAGATGAGAACGTCAAGTACACATTTAAGGAAGTGATCGCTAAGTATTTGTGTGAGCATGACAGCAATGCTCATCCTGAGAAAACCTGACGTTGTATTAAGTGTGTTGTAGAAAGCAGGAGTAGAGACAGTTTGTAACGCACTCGAAGATTCGAAACTTCATTGAATTTCTACGATGCCATCTGAACTGATTGATGCGAGAAGAATGATTCCACAAGGCTTGTACCACGATGGCTGACTTCCAAAATCAACGTAGAACCTCGCACACAGTCATATAGACTCAAGTTGACACATTTCACAGTAGTACACAAAGAACATTTGATTAGGAAAAGACTGGTATCAGAGTTGTGTGAGAGAATAAACAACCCGAAGATTAAGGTCAATGCCTGTAGTCAAGCTTTGGAAGTCAAGGAGTGAATACATCTCCACCATTGTCACCGATTTTCAGCCATGTCACCGACAGTCCTCATCCAGTGATCCCTTTCGTCTCGAAGAGCCAACCAGCAAGTCCGCACCGCCCCATACACGGCTCAGGCCAACAGTAATAGACTTCGTCAACTGGTGCCACTTCTTGGTCTGGCTACCCTGAACGCTCTCCCAACATAATCCAACTCTTCATTGAATCGCATGTCGAGGAAGATGGTGGATCTGTGTGTGCAGTACATATCCAAGCTATCTCAGTCGACTAAGGCACACAACCTCATCACTCGACTTATCTTGCTTGCTTAGTTCCCTTCTCTCGACCTCAACATTGGTCACATGGTGATTCCGTCAAACGCGTGCAACGCTACGAAGACAACTATGGTCGAAACCGTGCAACTGCCTCACGTCGTCTATGTTTAACGACCATATCTCACAGCCGTATAACAGGACGGTACCGACTTCAAAGCAGTATATCCGTCCTTTGACACATAGCCGGGTATCTCGCCAGTCGGAACCAGAGGCGATGCAAGTTGACAAATGCCAGACGGAGCTTCTGTGTGTGAGCTGTGATTTCGTCAGTAATCGACTCGTTCAGGCTAGTGCAACTCCCAAAGTAAGTGAAGTGGTCGACATATCCCACCACTGGGAGTGGTTGCAGCAGACCAGTCCTGGAGCCTCATCTCACACGACAGGTGCGAAATGCATGCCAAAGATACACAGATTTCTGCTTAACGCGTTCAAAAGACTGTGATTTGTCAGCTCTCTCACCCAGCAGGACAATATCACTTGCATACTCCAAGCGAACTAGATGACCTCCAAGAAGTAGGTCAATCTCTGTGAAGTCAGACGTATCTAAAGCTACATCCATCAGTACGTCTATGAGGAAGATGAATAGGAACGGTGACAGTGGACATCACTAGCGAACACCACTAGTTGTTATCAATTGATATGACAACTGTCCATAATCACTAACACGGCGGTGTGAGTTTGATGAGATAGCTTTGATTAGCATTATGTACTTTCTTGATATTCCCTTCACAGTTAGACACTGCCACAACACCTCAAAGTCGACAGAGTCAAAGCCGCCTTCACGTCAACAAATACGGAAATTGTCGGCGCTGTTAAGTATGCCTGTGTTCTAGAACCTGTAAAAATATGATCGATGCACCCTCATCCAGGTCGGTCTGGTTTTCTCGACTTCGCTCTTCTCAAGCTTCAGTAAGTCATCGGACAACTCCGGATTTTGCATACACTAATTAGTCAAAATAATTCTTTTATGGTTGTCACAAGAAGATTTCTCCCCTTACTATAGACTGAGATGATCACTGAATTACACCAGTCTGACGCTGCTATCTCTGATTCTCATACACTATCTAGTAACTCCATCACTGATCAGCAATTTCTTACCTCCATCCCTGAAACCTAAGCGTGGCAAACTGTCAGATCCAGCTGCGTTGCATCGTGTTGGGTTCAATACAGCTTTTTTAGCGTAAAGGAGAGTTTGAAGACCGACATCTACGTCCCATTCAAGTTTAGACTGGATGTTAGGCAACAGAAGCATTGCTGAGGTCGAGTTAAAGTGTGCTTCAAAGCGTTATGCCCAACGTTTTAGCCGCGTGTCCTAGGAGTTTACCAGCATCCCACCCTTTTCGGTGATGTTTTGTCTAACCATCGTTTTCTTCTTGTACTTAAGCTTATCCTGAGTGGTAACTGAGTATTACCTGATGCTGATAGTTTTTCCATCTGTCTCGCTTCCGCATCCCAGGATCATTACAAAGAGTTATTGGATTTCCGTTAAAGTCTCTTTCGCTCTTGATTGAAGTCAGAGCCAGCTGTAATCGGTCCTCTCGCACAAACCAGTTCCAATGACGTTGTGGAAATCAAACGACGTTTGCTAACCTTCGGGTTCAGGTTATCATTGTTTCTACTGCAGACTTAGTTTTATGCCAGGTTTCCTCAAGATGAGCATTGCTGCCATGCTCCGATAAATGCTTAGTTGTCTTCTACCTAAATACCCGTTTGGGGTCCTTATTCTTCTATCGAGTATAGACAGGTTTTTCTACAGCTTGTTTCTTGCGACAAGTAAGGAGAAGACATACACCAGCCCATACTAGCGCGTGATTGCAGTCCAAATAGGTACTCCAGGAAGATACGGTAATCCTTCAACGATGGTTTATACCATTATGATCTATCTATAACTATCGTTGGTTTGATGTCGGCAGACTCCATGTAAGACAGTACCTCTCCTAGCCAGAAACAAGTGATTGTTGGAACAAACTGCAACAGACGATCATGGTTGTCAGTTCGTTGGCGTGAGATTCCGTAAATACCTCCGGGATGCCTATCCGATTGTCTCAGCTCAGTTTCCCTACATGAACGTTAAAGTTACTTGGTATTATGAATATAGATAAACGTTTTGCTTTATGTAGCAAAGTTGACAGCTGCTCACAGAATTCATCCTTCGGATCATCTAAACTGCAGTCGGTGTGGGCAGGAAGAGGGGTGCTATTTTGGGGCCCGACCTATTCTAACCCCTCTCCTTCTCATAGGGAAGGCAGCATCAGCATGGTACTGTTGGTCATCCAAGGAAGTACCTCACTGTTGTCACACCTCATCCAGTCAACAGTAGGTCTTCGCCCCCAGAACCCTTTCATATCATAGTAATTTACAATACAACGGTAACACTTTATCGCATTACCACTACCATACAGACTTTTCTGGCATATTGGCATATTGTGGGAACAAGTGTAACACCAGCATATCTCGCTGGGTCGTTGTGATATACAAGCCCGACCACTACATCGAGGTAGTAGCTGTTGACTAAGGGTTATGGATGAAACAGATGCGCACCAGTCTTCAAGCAGCTATGTACACCTAGAAAGTGAGAAATGCACTGCATTATTGCTACTCCATATATTCAGAAAACTATGAATCTTGTCAATGTCATTCGGATACTCTGAGTTAACTGGAGTATCTCAAGTAATACGATCCATAGCCTGTGTGATGGTGTAGCGTTTACGCGATCATGTCACGACCTACGTAAGTTATTTCTTTTATATTACATTTCTTGATATGATATAGTAGACAGTCATACAGTGTTAGTTACTGAACGGTGTCTCCAGAACAATTTATTGGTTGATATGATTATAAGCAGAAATTCAAGCTATATCAATCAATAAGATCACAGTGCTCAATTTAAATAGCTCCATAAGTTATTTTTGTAAAATTTGCTGTCATGGAGAAACTACTTGAACACAACAGTTAGTCTGATTTACATAAAATGCATATCAACAGTCTTTAAAATAAAGAAAAAGTTCAAACCTCACCTTTTCCATGTCGACATTCAATTCGCTGAACCAACGATCAGCAACTAATAAGGGATTAACACTTGGCTGAGGTTGATGAGAAAAATAACCGTGTTTATTAGATGATCCAGAGAGACCTGAATTCAGCATTACTGATGACGCAGAACCACCACCAGTCAGTAAATCAGGGTTACTTGAGATGATCACAACAGCCAGTTGCAGACAACCTAAATCAGGTGAAGTGAAGAGATGCAAATGTTCTCAAATCATATATTTCATTAATTAGTCAAATAGGATTACTAAAATGTATTGGCGAATTTCGATCATCAAGTCCTATATGCTTATAAGATCGAATTGTGATAGCGCCCAACTGAAATACTGTAATATAGTAGCTGCATTCAGATTCATGTGCTACGTCGAGCTACATGTTTTGTTTCAGGTCCAGAAGTGTAAGTTAAAACTGAAGATAAATGTTTCAGTGTTAAATGTTAAAAGACTAAACCATAACTTCATAGGATCATAGATTTATCAACCATTACAAGATCAGAATACACTGTGCACAGAGCCCAATTGACATTGGAATCGACCAGCTGAATTTCATTAGTTGAGGGTCTACGCTTTCACTAACTGTTATGTTCAAGCATAATGTAGATTATTATGATCCCATAGTGCTGGTGTAACTAAAAAAGCTGGAGAAAGATTCTAGTGAACTGAAAACTTATTTCTAGGTTGAAAGATGGTGGTTTTTCACAAAGTCAAAACCTCATTGAAATATTGTAACACAACACTAATTACATCGGACATTGAATTTAAACCTCCAGATCTCACTATTCTCGATTACTTCAACTTAAGAAAAAAATTGATACTACAAAGGAAGACTCAATATATTACACGTTCATTATGAGCAGCTACGCTAAGAGATTTTCTAGCTAAACTTGTCATTATCTAAATTTAGATATCTACGCAAAACAAATTCTATCTATTAGCTGAGAAATCTTCAGTTTCTACGAAATTTCGTTAAAAACTTATATTATCGAGAACTTGTACTTAGTACAAAAGAAGTATTCTCAACTACCTAAAGCAAGCTAACTGACTGTGATTCTCGCACATTTTGACTTCTAAAAGACCTGAAAAGTAGTTGGGACTTTCCAGTGTGGAAGTTCAGTGACCCGAAAATTCATATGTTTAACGAGTTGACTGTGTGTTGCAGATGGAATTGCAGATGTGCAAATAAAAAAGCAGAAATGTCCTAGAATATTTACGCAGCAAGTGCCAACCATCTTTTGAAAGCGGCCTACGTTACGTAACTAGGAAAAACAGGAGATCAAGTGACTTTCGAATGTTATCAACTCGGCGCATACACTAAATCAGTCAGAAAGTAGAAAACTATAACCGCTCAATGATTCTTATGCTTCAAAAGTTGTTCATTTGTATGCAGTTGTGATGAACTTCATCAAAAACTCAATTAATCCAAATGGATCTATATATATCACACTTGTCATAACTGGTCTGGACCAACTGTGTTAGAGGATTTAATCACATCTTGGACGTGTTTTCATAGTCAGTCGTAAAATTAACACAACACCTAAACCGTATGACGGTGCACAATTGTTTGCATATCACCGTCTATTAAAGGGCAAATGTCGTGAGCTATTGTCCACACTGTTCCATTTTATAACCGCTGAAATTAGATATAAAGAGATTACAGATAAGTGACCTCAGATGACTTCGTAACACTAACCGCGTATGGTGCAGATGTGGCTCACTGGTTTAGCGAGATGACTTTCAACCAATGTGTCGTGGGTTTGAGACCCGCCCCGCCTACCGAGGTTTGAGCAGCCAGGCAGCATCACTAGCCCTTACATCGCCTACTGTACGAACGTGTACAAAGTTGTATTTCATTTTTCCATCCAGTAGGGAGAATAATTCAGTCGTTGAGGTTGTGACATGCACCAAACGTTGTAGGATTAAGTTGAAAGTTAAGAACGACTAGAATAAGACATAGTACTGACCCATGAATTCTTTGACCGTTGATCTGAGCAATGTAGTCAGTTTGGTTAAATTCTCGAAATGTTAAAAATCATGCTCTAGAACTCTTGCTAATGGCGTTTGAGGTCCGTCGCAATGGTGCACGTGAACGTACTTTTCAGCATTCTGTATCTTGTTATTTGCTCTCAACATCATCACAGTTTTTTCCAATTCTTCTTTGCATGTTGAGGAACTGATACAATTATATATTAGGTTCTACACTGATTTATCTGTAGTACGTATTTGCAAAAGACAATAAAATACGTGGACAGGATACGTTAAGATAACAAACTCCATGAAACACATAATACTCATAAACTAAGTCTTTTAGTCATCCTTAACTCACTAATCTTAGTTCATTCTCATGATCACTAGGCTTTCCTGAAGACATTTCTCCATATTTAGTACAAGGTCAAGAAAAGGTTGGCAAAGGGATCAATTACAAAATAAACAGAACTCAGGTTCATTATTTACATGAATTTGACAGCCAGAGGCTGTCTAAACCTTGGCAAGTGACGCTTGTTACAAGCCGGTGGTCCACTGGTAAAAAGTCCAATTTCCAAACAACAGTTAATGCAGCAAAGGTTATTACTATAACGAGATCTACTGAAATGACATACCTAGTGCAATTATATATGGAGGATAATGTAGACAAACATCCGTTCGAAAACTATCATTCACAAGCCACCTGCAAAGAAGAAAAAGTTTTAATAGCATGCATTAACAGACTGGTAGGACATGTTAGAATTTCACCAGTTTATAAAAGACTAATGCTGTTGGATGAAAAGATATGATGTATATCAAGTTCAGCCTAAAGTAACAAAATTTATGACCATATATTTAACTATAGTATGCACATGGCTCAAGTGTTCATCCTCTGTTCGATAATAGATATCACTGAAGCACTGCTTGCATCTGAAAAAAACACCGAATCGGTGATATTCCGGTTAGGTTTGGATTAAGATGCAAAAATGAGTTAATCAGTAATGTGATAAGTCGAATTCAAATGAACGGAGACATCACGTATCCCTGGAACACACCACTGGTTTTCGTCAATTCTGATGACAACAGCCCATAAGCCCTTACACGGTTGTGGGAGTCTGAGAAAAGAGCTGTGATTAGCATCATATACTTGGTCTGTAATCCTTTCACAGTCAGGCACTATCACAACACCTCACACTTGACAGGGTCAAATGTCACCTTCAGGTCAAGATATATGGTAAGTGTTGGGCACCGATAAGTATGCTTGTACTTCACAACCTGAAGAAAAGTGAAGATCAGATTGTTGTAACATCATCCAGGCCTGAGCCTGTCTGGTTTTCTCGAGTTTTCTGTCTACCGGCTCAAATTATGTGTTGGATAGCTATGGAATCAAGAATCATGGGGACGATATTTAAACTGATCCACTGATGGTTGGCACAAAAAGACTTACCTCCCTCATGATAAATTGGAATAGTCAGTAAAGCAGATCAGTCTGATGCGACTACCTCTGATTCCTATACACTATCTAGCATCCCCACCACGCTATTTGGCAGTTTGCCACCCTCTTACTTAAAAACATCTGGTAGTAAGCAGCTAGGTCTGACTACTTCATTTCGTTTCAGGTTTGAAACAGCCTTCTTAACTTCCAGGACAGTTGATGGACCGACATTTAATTCCTATTCAGGCTTGTGTTGGCTGAATGCTGGCGTCTGAAGCTTTGCTATGGTCCAGTTGAAGTGGACTTCAGTGTTCTCCCCAACGTTCTAGCTGTTTGGTGTGAGAGGTTATTAGCGTCTTATCCTTTCTGGTGATGATCTCACCAACTATCGTCTTCTTCTTGCAAGTATCCTTAGTAAGCCTAAATGATTACCATGTATTACTCGATACTGATCCTTCTCTCTTGCTTTTGCCATCCATTATTTCTAGCGATCACTGTGAAGAATCTTGGTCAATTTACGTTTGTACTTCTTTCGTTCTTCCGTGTGGTAACAGCCAGTTGGAATAAGTCTTCTAGCACCAACCAGTTGAGGAAATAAGCTGACTTTTGCTGACTTTCGGCTTTAGGTTAGTAACCAACTATTCTTGACAGCTGTTTCTACGATAGAGTGAATATCACATCAGACTTCATTAGGAAAATAATGGCTGTCACGCTTAGATAAGTACTAGGTTATCTCCTGTCTACATTCACACTTGACATTCTCATCTTCCAATTGAGTGAGCACAGGCTTTACTGTCACTTGTTTCCTGAAACCAGTAAGGTGCGAACATAGACGTGTCCACACTTACACGCAATTGGAGTTTAGACAGATGCTCCAGGAAGAGCGGTAATCCTCCAACGATGGTCTACAGCACAATAATCTATCTGTCCATCGTTGGTTTGATTTTGACGTGTTGGAAGTTAGTGCTAGCCACAAACAAGTGACTGTCAGAGCAAAATTGCAAGAGAGGATCATCGCTGTCAGTTCATCGGCATGAGGTTTCGTAAATACCTTTAAGATTCCACTGCTACTGACTCAGCTTTCCTACACGAGGGTTAAAAACACTTGCTATGCAACTGGTGAGTTAAAAAGCGGCTCTACGATGGTCTCATTTTGTAACTATTCAAGGTCTACGAGCAGTATTTATTTCAGCTACATAATAAGTATGATAGGACGTAGTTCACAAGTTATTCTAATACTTTATGTTAATTAAGATGTTAGAACAAAAGACAAAGAGGAAATATTCAAGTAACAATGACGTATCGTGTGGTAGATTAGTTTATCCGATACAGTATATACACACAGTGGTAACCTTGCTGACTGCAACATTGGATAACGCAGATTTGAATCTCAGAGGGGACACCAGTTCTTTCAAGGTTGCAGATACGCCCTGCTGACGAGTGCTAACAAGTACGAAACTTAGGTCCAGGGTTTTCTGATGACTGCTTCCAACCAACTAGTAAATTGTACTTCACTGATCATCAAAGGTACCCGCCATAAGTAAGCTTATATTCATTACCTTAATCTAGTAATAACATTTGTAATAATCGCAAACTTACCAAGCACGTTCAAGCAGTACATCAGCATACTCATGCATATGTGGTCGAAGTTCGTCACAGAACTGTACCAATGGACGATAAGGATGAAAGACAGCTAACGAACAATCCTGAAAGTAAGATATTCAAGAGTTGTCCAGACAGTTACATTATCAGTGAGACATATTCAGTCTAGTAAAAGTAATCATATTCAGTGTCGAACTGATAGAAGTAGTTGACACAAATATGTTAAATTTATGCATAAAGTGGAAATCCATAAGATCAGCATTCCAAGTGGTTCATCCACATGATCATTTCGATTAACATAATTTAGTATTCACATTCATTTACGGGGATATGAGCTAAATACATAATTTGAAGTTCGATAATACCACTTAGCTGAATGGGTATTGATATACCGAGAGGGATTCAAACTCACGACCTAGTGGGTAAAAGCTGAGTGTCTAGACTAATGAGTCACGGCTATATGATCACGTATATATAGCAGACTCGTTTGGAGTACACTTCTTTTGGCTTATTTTCAGTTTCCAGTTGATGTAATTTGGAATCATTGCAAAAAGCTGATATCTGTTTTTAAGGTTTTATGTACCTTGGCAATTGTTCAGTTCTGCAATATGTTGGCCATAGTTTTAGAAGTGAATCGTAACACTCATGAAGCTCCTTCTCTCTCTGAGAAACAGTGACAGATGACACAGATATGAAACTGATATTTAAGTATTAGGTGAAGTTTTCCTGTAGACATTGATTGTGAATCTATAAACTAAAACAAACCTGAACTCCTTTTAAAATCATTAGTATTTGCGTTCTTCATCAGAGTAGATAGGGACTCTAAGGTCAAGTTAGTCAGCTTTGCTCTTTCTTCAGCTGTTTTACACGAGAAACACAGTACCCGACAATATCCCACCACTTGCCTTACGATTATAACTGCTGATAAAATTGGACACTGACAAAATCAACGTAAAATCTTGCACACAGGTGCGTCGGCTCAAGTTACCACACTTCATAGTAGTAAAATTGGATCAACGCAGAATGTCAAAGTATTATCATACAGAATGTCCACCAATCAGTTTGTGAGTAGAAAGTTAGCGAAAACCCATTTCTTCCTGACATGTTGGTCCAGTATGCATGCATGTATTTGAATGGTTATTGCTTACTCATGTTTAAGTTCATAAAACATCATCCTGTCTTAGTGTCATACTATAGACCGTAACTAAACAATAGCATTCCAACTTCCTACTAGATAGCATAGATACTAAAATTAGTTCGTAGTTCACAATGACAATGTTAGCCCTGTAAGTTCTTTTCGTCGGAACTGACAGCTTTTCTAATGAAAGTGCAGATGTAGTTACCCTACCTGGTAATGAAATATCCCCAATAAAAATGACAATGCTTGGAGGCATACAACACCAAATCTATGAAAAAATATACTTTTCAAAACGTAATTTGAACATGAAACAGAAAACTCACCATTGCCTCAAGCAAAATAAATTCACACTCTAAAACGTCCTGAGCACGATATGGATAACCATAGCCATCAGGAAAGTAAATTAAATAATGACTATGAACTACAAAAAAAAGGATAGAAAAGAACGCAGACTTTAGAAAGCACGAAAAACCTACCCACATTACGACAGGATGCCATTAAATTCTTTTGAGAGACTACGCCAAACTCCTAAAGAATATGAACAATACCAATTCAAGTACGTGGTGAAAACCTACTTCCACTTTAGAAGCTAAAAATAGGCATGAAGGAGCCATCAGCCATGGATCAATGGTTTTAAATGAATTCCTTTGTTTTCATTATTATTACTATTTACATCTTTGTATACACACAACATACCGACTGTAAAATCGTTTGAAGTAGACTAATGCAGTTGCAATGACTTGTTGACGAACTTCTACACTCTTGCCGAATGCTTGTATAACTAATATCACAACCACAAGGCGAATATGAAGAGTAAAGTTGCACAATAACATACCATCAGTGAAGAAAAGCATTACTTTTTGATATTCTTCTTCACTTCCAAGAATTTTCAAATCACTAGCTCGATGTATCATCACATCTTGACGATCCAACAACCACTCCAAACTGTATTTTTCAGAAAGGAAGGAAGAAAAAAGTGAAAAAATTAGATGTGTATAATATGAAATGTTGGGTCTTACTCTAAACATAATCAATCCTTCCGAGATACATTCCTAACATGTCTGTACCTTAAAATTATTCAATTTGACTTACAGAAGGTACAAAATATAAAGTTGCGGGTACCTATATACTGAGAGTATCACAGCTGCATGGTGGGATTATCGTATGGACACTTGTCAGGTGACAAATAAAGATTAACACAAAGAAAAATATGCTACGTGGTAAGAATATGTTCTCATCAAATAAAATTGAATGTGTGGTAAAAATGAAATAACCGTCTAACTTGATGAGCTTTACATAATGACTAAATATCCCAAACACTAGCTGCTACCTGAACGTGGTGATAGGGCCTGTATATTTCAATGACCCACCGAGCTATGCTTGTTCCCTCGAAGCCCAGACATACCACATAGGTTTATTAGATATTAGTAAGACGAAAAGAGGTACCACAATAGTCTAAAATTGCTACGTTATGATTGTAAATTGAGGGCGAAGTCGTACTCTTGCTAGCTGGATGGAGAATGAAAGCAATAAGAGGTTTCCCTCGGATGACGAGAAGTGCAACGCTAATGCTGCCTTCACTATGAGAAGAGGGGGATACAAAAGGCCGGCCACAAAAATAGCACGCTTCCATTAGCCTCGCCTGGTTAACTAGTTCACTAGTTACTAGCCTGTCCTAAGCCCCTATAAAGAGGGAGGGTTGGGCATAAGGATAGCAACCCTACCCCGGAAAACAAATCCAACCGCTAAACAAACTTCAAAGCACAAATGAAATATAAAAAATAATAACAAAATTATTCCTCGCTCAAATCAAAGAGACGAAATGACGCCGGTTGGTGAAAGCCTTCGGCAAGCCAATTGGCCGATGTGTCTTCTCACCCTCGATGAAAGCGAAAGTAAACGTGGGGATATGGAATGTCCGCACCATGTCTGAACCCAGCAAGGCAGCCCAGATTGCAAACGATATGAGAAGGTATCACAGTGAAGTGCTAGGAATTCGCGAAAGCAGGTGGAATGGAAGTGGACTCTCCAAACTGTCAACTGGACAGTCAATAATCTGTTCCGGTCATCCAGACGACACCACGACAACCACACGGAGAGGGTGGCTATCATGATGTCCGCTTGAAGAGCATCGAAGGCTCTCTCTCATGCAGTGGGAACCAATCTCCTCCAGGATCATTACAGCAAGGTTCAGCTCAAAAGGAAGGAAGGCCACAGTCATACGATGCCATGCACCTACAAATAATGCAGAGCAAGAGAAAAAGGAGGAGTTCTACAGAAAACTGCAATCAACACTGGACAAGACCCCACTCCAGTTGGCGACATCAAAATCCTAATGGGCGACATGAATGCCAAACTGGGAGCGGACAACACAGGAAGAGAACAAACCATGGGCCGAGAAGCGCTCGGTGAGGTGATGAACGAGAATGGAGAATTGTTTGCAGAATTCTGTGCATTCAACGATTTGGTGATTGGAGTCAGGCAGTGTGTTCAAGCACAAGGATATCCACAAAGCGACATCGATTCGATTTCACCAGACATTAGGACACACTAAAAATCAGATCGACTTCATCTCAATGGGAAGGAGGTTGAGACGCAGCCTACTTGACACAAGGTCACATCACGAAGGGGAGCAGATGTAGGTTCGGACCACTATCTAGTGCAAGGAACCTTCCAAATCAAGTTGAAAACCTTCAAGGAAGTTGGTGATAGGCGACCACAGTTCAAGCTCAACACCCGGAAACTGAAGGACGAAACTACAAAGGACATCTTCACGTCAGCCATCAAGACAAAATTGGAGATATCGAGGAACATCCCTGAAGAAACCTGTGTGGATGAGCACTGGAAGTCTTTGAAAGCTATGTGGGAAGAAATCTGCACAACCGTGTTAGGAAGGAAGAAGAAAGAAGATAAGGAATGGATCTGGAAGGACACATGGAAGCTGATAGATCAGGGAGAGGAGGATGGTGAAGCAGAAGACAAACCAGTGCGAGGATGAACGACGAGAAGAGGAACTGAACACATCCTATAAGACACTACACTGGACAGAGAAGTGAGGAAGACAAAAGACACTTCTACGAAACACTGGCAAGTGGAGCAGAACAGGCTGCAGGTAAGAGAGACCCGACAACATTGTATCAAATAACCGGAATGCTATGTGGGAGGAGATCAACGCAGACGAAACCAATAAAAGACGATGACGGAAATCTAATTACCAAAGAAGAGATACAAAGGAAACGATGGGCCGACCACTTCAATAAGCTCTTGAATCGACCACCAACACCAGCTGCACTTCGTCCAGAAATACCACCTGCAGAAACAGAACTACAAGTGAACATAAATCCTCCAACAAAAGTGGAAGTCCTGAGCGCCATAAAGCTACTGAAATGTGGGAAAGCAGCAGGACCAGATGGGATCCCGCCAGAAGCACTGAGAGCAGACGCAGAGACAACAGCATCGGACATGCTCACACCACTATTGCAGAAGGTGTGGAAGGAAGAGAAGGTACCTGGCGACTGGAAGAAGGGTTACCTTGTCAAACTTCCGAAGAAGGGAGACTTCAGTGTTTGCAAGGACTGATGTGGAATCACGTTGCTGTCCACCCAGGGCAAGCAAAATATTAAGCCGCATCATCCTGGAGAGGCTAAAGGATGTGCTAGATTCAAAACTACGACCGGAACAGGCTGGCTGGATTCAAGAAGTACAAATCATGTGCGCACCAAATCGCAACGCTACACTTCGCATCATCATAGAACAGAGTACAGAATAGTAGTGAACTCTCTACCTCAACTTTATCGACTTTGAGAAGGCCTTTGACAGCGTCGACCGAGAGGCAATTTGGAAACTGTTTCAATACTATGGAATACCGTAAACCTTTGTCAATCTCATTCAACAACTATATGAAGACGCCACATGCCAATTAATAATTCACAATGGGAAGCTGAATGATGCTTTTGAAGTGAAAACTGGAGTGAAACAAAGTTGCGTACTATCGTCCATGATATTCCTGATTGTGGTCGACTGGATCATGCAGCAAACAGTGAGGAGCGAGAAGAGGGGCATACGCTGGCTGGCCCGCGGAAAAGAACCTAGAAGATCTGGATTTCACCGATGACTTGTGTCTAATGTAACATGAACTTGAAGATCTACAGGCGAAAACTAACAAGTTGACAGAAGAAACAGGGCAGTGAAGACGGGACTTCAAGTCAACGTAGAGAAGACAGAGGTGATGAAGATACCCAATCAACACTACCACCACCACCACCACTACCACCAACAACAACAACAACAAGCTCCAATCACCATGAATGGGAGAAACTTAAAGGAAGTAACCTCCTTCACCTATCTAGGAAGCACTGTTTCAACTACAGGCGGCGGTGACACAGACGATGACGTCAAAGCCAGCCAGAATCGGAAAAGCAGGAGAGGTGTTCATTAGCCTGAAACCAGTGTGGAGATCTACTGCACTCCACTCAGCATAAAGCGTGAACAACATCCGGATTTTCAACACCAACGTCAGTCAAGTCAGTGCTTCTGTATGGTTCAGAGACTTGGCGCGTTACGAAAGGGATTTCCAATAAACTACAGACATTCATCAACAACTGCTTACGCTCGCTACTGAAGATCAGATGGCCAGAATAATAGGAATAAGCAACAAGGAGCTCTGGGAACGAACCAACCAAGAACCTATCACCCAACAAATATGCAGGAGGAAGTGGAGATGGATTGGGCATACACTGAGAAGGTCAACTGGGGACATCACGCATCAGGCCAGTCACTCGAGTGGAATCCCCATGGGAAGCGACGAGTTGGACGTCCGAGGGTGACATGGAGGAGATCGTGCGAGGAGGAAATGAGAGCTTGTGGGCTGTCGTGGAGCCAGGTCCAAAAGATTTCAGAGAAGAGAGTGGAATGGAGACGTACTACTGAAGCCCTATGTTCCATTAGGAATCCAAGGGACTAATAATGATAAATTAACACATAGCAAGCCGATGTCTGCAACATGGGTTCTAAGTCCGATTCGAGAGCAAAAACCTAAAACCTCAAGCTTGTAAAAACACCGTGTGTGACCCGCCTCAAAAATATATCCTTTGGGCTTTGTAGTCACTTACTCACTCTTCTGTTTCAAGTACCTCAAGATCTACTCTTCCAGAGTTTGGGTAACCGGGAAGTGACAACCGCCATCACAATTCTGTCCACGTGACAACAGAAACCAGTGGTTGGAGACTCTAGGTGGTATAGCTACCTCAGAATCGATGTCACTGGGGCAGATGTATCCATATATTACCTCCATCTTAACCGCTATACTGAATTCAGTACTTTCTTATTCTTCTTCCCTTTCCTTTAATGTTTTAGACTTTTGACCGCTTTTTCTTTCTCTTTTCACCACTCATTTTACTGCTGTGTTACTTGCTGTGCTGATATGGAATGTGACAATTTAAATCACTGGGCAGTAATGCCTGGTCCTATGGTGATATTTATTGGATTGGTTGAAATGGGCATATACAGCAAAAAAGGTTCATTAGCCACCAGACACAAATATAAAAAAGGACCATTGAACCACTGATTTTAAACATGCGAAGAGCCGTAAGCTATCTGAATAGTATACTCAAGACGAAACAGTGGTAGCAAGTGTTCAGTAAGCTTAGTCGAAATCGAACATAATGGGACGGATAGATTCACTCGCTTCCATATTACTCCATTCATATATGTGTCACGCTTGATTTTTTCCTTCGTATTTTATCGCCTTTCTTTCAGTTCCAGTGTGATAGAAAAAGATGAATAACCCAGAAAATATGTTAAAAATGTGCACAAAAACGACAAATAACCAATTTTTACAACTGAATTCCAGTAAAAGGACGATGAAATTCAATTCATTTTCTTCTACTGAACGTGAAAAATTGTATATACCTGACACATTAGAACATGAATTGGGATTTCAAAAA